TTTGAAGAGAAAAAGACAAAACAAATAGTATACGTAACGGATTCCTATATACTCTCTTATTACTAATCGTTTAGGTTTCGTAGTATTCGATCCTTTAACTATTATATATTTATAATAAATCAGCGATATATATTATTTGTTTTATAAGCCTTGCATTTGACATCATTGAATCGCCGTTTTTTTTCTACATATGTATAGAAAGCAAATAAGAAATAAGACGAACAAAAAAAAATGTCTTCTCTTTTGATAGTTTTTTGCTTATACGGTGATTAATAGCCGATTTATTTATTGACATGCATCAATAGTTTAGTTTGAATATACACCTATATATACATTTTTTTTTTGATAATATTTCTAGAATACATGATTAATAAGAATGCGTTGAAAATGACCTATTTTAATCAAAAGTATTGCGATGTACAAAGAGACCTCGATCTGACACAAAAAATGTTTAACACTTAAATTAAAGGTAGCCTTATTTGTAATACAAAAATCTTATAGGAATTCTACAATCGAATCAACAAGTGGCGTCTATCCAATTAGGATTTGACACACTGTAGTAAAATGTGTTTCATTTTAAAAATTTGATGAGAATTATTTTTTAAAGTAGATAATCAATATTCTAACTATCTGGTAACAGATTTACGAAATAAAAAGTTAACAAAAAAGAATACCGATTAACTATTATGTCACATTATGATTTGGATAAATTATTATATAAATTTAAGGATAGGATAACTTGATACATGTCAATAATCACAACTTGGAATGAGATACAGTTACTTCCTTATGATGGTATGGGACATCTGACGGGATAATAATCGACTTAATCATTTTTGTTTAATCAGCATATTGAAAATCTAACTGACAAGATAAACATTACTGTTATAATTTATATAGGACTTACATAGAAAGGAGAAAGGAGGAGAACGTTAAGTGATGAAATTGATTCTCTCGTAAAATTGAGTTTCCCATTTCCATCAATTTCGATGACAGTAGTCGATTGCAGCTCGAATTAGACAGTTACATCTCATTCTAGTTTGACGCCGTTGACTCAAAACTCAATATTATCTATCTTCTATAGTTTTATCCTATGTAGTATTCATTTGAAGAGTCTATCTCTTCCATTTTGAGCTCTTTTATTGAGTTACGTGCCAAATGAAAGTTTTTTCTTTTCTCTATGGAACAGTATATAGGATTTGTCACAAATTATTTTTCTTTTCTTTTTTCTTTTAGATGATATTATTTGCTTGCATATATAACATGAAAATATCTTCGATGAAATTCACTTCCTATTGAATTTTGCAAGTAGTGATCGACTTTGAATTATAAATTATTCGATAGTCCTTTCAAAATTCTATTCAATGTTATTCTTGATCGGATGTTAATGTATAGGTAAGACATTTTATTGAAATACATAATACTCGTTAGTATCAAAATATTTTGATTTTCTAACAAAAAAAGAATCATATATTTGAAATCAACGTAAAAAACTAAGTTGATCGATTTTTAAAACATCAGTTTGATTGTGAAAAGCCACTTATAAATCTTTAAAAAGCAAGAAAAATCGAAAAAGATAAATGAATAAATAATGGTTTGACTAATTTTATTTCTATACTAATCTCAAATAAATTATTTCTTTTTTTATCAGAAAGCTTAGATATTTTGATATTCACTAGTATTATGTATTTTAATGAAATATCTTATCTATAAATTAACATACGAGCAAGATTGTAGAATTTTTAAAGGACTATTCAATGATTTATAATTCAAAGTCGATCGTTACTTTCAAAATCCAATAGAAAATGAATTTTGTCAATTATGTTTTTCATATTGTATATGCAAGTAAACAATGTTATCTAATGGAAAAGGGAAAAGGAAAATAATTTATCACACGTCTACATGCCATTCCATAGAGGAAAGAAAAAGCTCTCATAGGACATATAGTTCAAGATAAATGAGCTGAAAATGAGAGAAAAACTTTCCATATGAATACTCTTTAGTATGAAAGTATAGGAGATAGATAATATTGAGTTTTTGAGTCAGCTGTGTAAAACTAGAATGAGGTATAATTATTTAATTCAAATTGCAATCGACTTCTGTCATTAGAATTGAGTATTAGGAAAATGAAGAACTCATTTTTCCCGAGAGAATCAATTTCATTACTTAATGATTCTTTTTCTTTATTATAAAAGTGTAAATACAACATCAAAAACTCTTTTTTTGAAGACGGAGAAAATCAATTTCTCTTCCGGCTTTTATATATAATAGAATTAAAAAAATATATTATAACAAGTAAAACTATCGATTGAAGAGGAGGGCGAGTACGACGAGAGCGAACGAATGAATCGTTTTTATTCACCTGTTTTTTTTTCATTAAATACTTTGATCAAGGATGTAAACGAAGAAAAAAAAATGAAGAGAAACTTCACGATACAATCTTCAAAATAAATAGTTTACCTAGTAAAAAAATGAATGTGACAAAATAGAAAAATATTTTCGTAAATAATTTCTTAATAAAACAAGAATAAACTAATTTTTTGATTAATCGTAATATGATTTGTCACAGCTAATAAACAACACGCAATAAATATTAGATTAGATAAAAAGAGATAAAAACATGTCTAGTATGTCATAGATACAAAAGAATATCTCCTAGTCTCTGTACTATTTTAATATATATCAACCTGTTCTTATCATTTCGAAATGACACATTTAATTCTCAATCACAGTAAGTAACGAAAGCATATTTCATGATTTTTTTTGTCTTTGACACACAGAATAAACAATTATTCGAAAAATATATAACATTTATTTCTATTTGTTATTGGAAAATTCTTATTTAAAATAAATAGTATATCGAATTTTTGTATTAATTATTCTTAATCAAGATTGTTATAAAACTATCATTGAGTTGTAATATTGATTTTAAAAGTTATGTTTCGTTCATATTTCTCAGACTACAAAAAAATATTTCTACTATCATAAACAATAAAAATAAAACGTTTAGGATTTAAAAAATAATAACACAAACTTACATATCGTCATCCATAGGCGAGTCAGCGTCTTGCATTGAGGTATGGCAATAGACTGTAATATCTTATTATTATGAAAGAAAACTATACTTTCAACCTGACAACCGTCTACACAACAACTATGAGTCAACATAGTAAAAAAGACGAAATTTGTCTTTTTTTACTGTTATTTATTCATTTCTTTTTTTTCTTTTATTAGAATGAAGCAAATAAAAAAAGAGTTTAAAAATAATACAAAGATTTTGTATCAAAAAACTCATTTTTCTTGCATTGTTTTTTCTTTTGCAATAAATTCTGCTACTATTTTATCCATATCAATTTTAAAATTTGCTTGGAATATTCAATATCACCAAGTCTGATAATCCTTCCTGTCATATACTATTCCTTAAATAAGTTTTTAGTCGTATTAATGACAAAAACAACTTCGTTCGTATTTATAACAGCTGATTAGTATAGTCTATGAAATCTTAAATAACTCATTTGTACATGGAAATAATATGTTGAAATTATTCTAGAGAATGAATTTAATTACTTCACATAAATTCTTTGGCTATAATTCTTAAGTATTTTTATTACTCATTGCAGCATTTTATATTAAAGTGTGTTTTGACTATATGAATATATAGTTTTTAGGTTTAACAATTGCCCTCTGATGGTCTATCCATATTATCATTCAACTTCATAGTGATATTATAACAGGTTTTCTAACTTGTCTTAATGCACCAATTAGATATATTATTCATTTTGCATGAAAAATTTTCCAATAACAAATAGAAATAGATTAAAATTAACAATAACACCACTTGAACTATTAAAAAAGTGTGGTAATAAAATTCCGTAAGACAAAAAGACTAATTTAGAAATTTAAAAATTTTTCTGCGTAATTTTTTTTTTCTGTGTATCAAAGAAAAAAAAACCATGAGAGTATACTTTTACATTACTTACGTTTGTAACGAACCAATTGACGTGTCGTTGAAATAACAGTAAGACAGTTATTTATTCTACTACAGCCGTTAACTAAAAATTATACCAACTACAAACATGTTTACTTACTTGTTTAAAAGATAGAAAATGACAAATCATTTTTGTCATATAATGATTGGTGAAAACGTTCTGCATTAATTTGTTTTCATTATAGCGTGACAACAACTCGTTGTGAAAACTTGATTACTCTCTTATTAGAAAGAGCAAAGTTTCTATCACGAAGCTGCGTAAAAATATTTGTTTCACGAAAGGGCTGAGAAGTTTTCTACACGCTTCTGGAATTCAGAAAATATCTATTCACTAACAAAATTGGTCGTTATTTTCTCTCTTTTTTTATCAAGTTTTGTAGCACTACGATAGAGAATTGTAAATAGATAAAAATAAAATTTTCAAGTTATCGATTGAGTTCGACATAGACATTTTTCTATCATCCGTTATTGACTTCAAGGACTCACAATTAATAAATAATTTCGACAAATGAGATTTTTTTCGAGTAATCGAAGTTAGTGAAACTCTATATTTTTTATGTGCCATTAGAGTTTAATGAGCTCTCATATTATATAAAACCGAATATAAAACATGATGAGAAAACTTTCGTTGATCGTTGGAGAGAGAGAAAATTAAGTTTTTAATAAAACTTGAATATTTTGATACAATTAGAAAGTCTGCATCGCGTTGGTTACACTCACATATAATGGACCTAAAAATTTCGATAGCCGATTATAAGATAGATCGATTAAATATACTTGCATGTAAAGTTACAAGGCACTTTTGTCCAATCAAACATCTTCTTAAAATTGTTAAATCTTCAGAACGAAATATTTTGTACATAATTTTGTAAGTAGAGACTTCGCTCTTTCGAATAAAATAAAAACGACTTAAGACATTTCAAAAGTAGTGATTTTGGCAAATAAAAGTTCACACAAAAGAGTTAATCAAATTTTTGTTCCAAAACTTGGCAGATATGGAAAGAAATGAGACTCCTAATCACGAGTTTCTTAAAATGGAACAAGAAGATAGATTATCGACTAGCATTCAAGATGTTGAAAGTCACTATAACAATTTCTACAGATAGAATACTACGTATTTTCTTGCTGCTTGATCTAATTGATAAATTTCATCAATCAAACGGCTTTTAATCATTACATGGAATGTCTTAATCAAGATGACAAAATTTCTTAATCGAAGATTATTTGAAAAATAGATTCAATAAATTGATTATGCGTGACTAAGCATGGCTATTAGTTCAAATACTTGATTAAGTCTTTCCTGTGGGATTTTATCTGCTAAAATCACTTCTTTTCGTATGTCATAATAATATCGAGACTCTACAATGAGTTATTGTTATGATAAACTAAAAACAAAATTAATGTCGGATTTTTGTAGCATTCGTTACTTATTTTCTTTTAATGATTATTAGAGAAAAAAAAGAGTTGATACTCATATACAAAAGAGGAGAATTTTGTTTTTTATTAGTTATATTTAAAAAAAAATATCAAACACATCGATTAGGTAAATAAAAATAGCTTTGTGGTAATGATGTACAATGTTGTGAATCGAAATCAATCAAATATTGATCAACTAAATAAATAGCAAAACGTTGTCGTTCATTGAATGATAAATTTTTACCTTAAAAAAAAGAAAGATTTATTAGAAGAAATTTTTATTATTTTTTTAAAATTTAACTACAAACCAAATTTGCAAGGATACGATCCAATTGGATTTTCTAGTTGATATCGTTCAATTTGTATTTGTATATCATCTATATCTGAACAATATTTATGAAACAATCTTTGTTTGTGCACTTTTTTTGAACAAACATATTGCTTTAAAAGTGTAAATGTTTCATCATTATGATAGATAAATGGATAACGATATGGTAAAATAGAAAATAAAATTTCATTTGCACGATTAGTTGCTAAGTTACCAGGTATAAAATTCATTATTTCATCGTATGTACGACGTATAAGATAAAATGGTCCATTATATAATTTAAGTAATTGAATATTATTTAAATCAAGATAATAACGTATAGTTTTTTCAACAAATTTTGATACAAATGATGGCATTTGTCGTTGTGCTAAGGGTAAAACATCATCAAATACAGCATCAAGTATAAGACCACGGATATCTTGATAATGTACAGCTGTCCAACATGCTGAATAACCACCAATTGACCAAGCAAATACTACTATATTATTAACAGAAAAATGAAGTTCTTCAATTGCATAACGCATTACAGCGTCGATGGAGTTTATTTCTGAGAGTGTACCTGGGTAACCCTAAGAAAATAAAGTTTTTTTTTTAACTTCTTCAGACAGCAGTAGTTACAACTATAGAAGAAATTTTATTGAGAGAAACTCTGCTAATTATGAATCAGTATTATCAATAAAGTCAGCAATGATTTAGAATAAATTATAATCTATAAATCTTCGTTATGACAATAGTATCAAGTTATTAGAATTTTAGTGTTAAGGAAAATATTTGAGAAAAATAAAATTAAGAAATATGAACTTGAAATAAATTTTATCATTGTTTAAAAATATTTTAGAGTTCGATGAAGATGAAAGTTTCAAGATATTATATTGGCAAACAGAAATAATAAACGAAAACATTCGTATTTGTGAGAGAACGTAAGAAGTAAGCCGAAAATTGCTCGGCAAAATATTTGACTATTTTTCGCGTATTCAAATGCATACGAAAAGAGAGTGAGAAGTATTTTATGAGAATCACAATTCTATACTCTTGCAGAACGTATGCTTAGAATCTTTCCATGGCTTTTTCCTATTGAGCTATAAGTAAACCTTGACAGGAGTCAAAAAAAAATTTTATGGAGAAGAAAAAGATCTTATTTTTCTGACGACAAGTCTGAACATATATAGTACTTGAGAGTGATCTCTCCTCTACAAAACTTATGCAAGAATAGAGAGTTCTGATTAATCCACTAAAAGATGACAGAGTTGTGATGGATGATCATTTTGTGCTGAAAATCGGTGCAATAGTCATTTTTCTTGTGGTAAACTTTATAAAAGCCTGTACTGCATCTCAAAAGTTTGCAAAAAATATAACGCTTTGTAGAGAATTATTTTTTGTATCGTGAGATATATTCGATAAAATTTTTGTTGCATGTCTAGAACAATGAGGAATATTTTTGAAGTTTGTTAAAACCTACAGAATTGGGTCGTTTACGATGCACTGAGATAATGCTGATGCATCTGTACTAGTTACAGGACCCAAACTGGCTTCAGTCATGGTATCATTTTTTATTAGTAAAATATATTCTGAAACTGTTTTCTTCTCGATTAATTTGAATTCTTTCTAATAAATAATTCGAATTTTGTATAGAAAATACTCTCTGTAATCGTCTATAGCTGAAACCGAAAGTCGTAGGCGCGACTGACAGTTCTTATGAATACCACGGCATACCAGCGGTAGTACGATATGGGAGCACAAAAATACGCCAAAAACTATCAAATATTTTGTCTAGAAACTCTCGACTCACCTTCTTATAACCTATTTTAACTCATAAGATGCTCTCTTAAGTTAGTACAGATAACTTATAGATAGAAACTTTTCTTTTGTTTCAGTGCAATTAAGATTCATATGTTTAAATAAATCTTCATGTATTCCTATCGAACTCACCGAACTCTCACCAAATCCTGGTCTATTCCATCCAAGTACTGAATAACCAGCTTCAATAGGTGTCATCATACAACCTATTTCATAAAAACCTGCATTACCTTCACAAGTAATAATTAATGTTTGTCTATTATCTATTGTACGTCGATCAACAAATATTGTATCAATATGATTTCCATCAGATGTACGTAATATATAACGTTTAGCACGATGAGAAACAATTAAATTTGTTCGTCCATCAAGTAAAGCACGATTTGTCATATGACGAATAATTTGTAAACTTCCAGGAAACATTAAACGACGACCAAATACATTAACACATATATAACCAACTAAAAGCGATGGATAATGAAATAATCGTTCGATAAATGTTACTTCTGTTTGATTAATTAAATTTTTTTCTGATGTTGATATCATTGGTAATTTACGAATAGTAGATGATTGTATTATATAATCAGGTTTCCAATGTGAAAGTGAAAAATCATATTTAGCTAAAAGTTTCTAAAAAAAACTTTTTTTTGAAAAATTTATTTTATTATTATTTTTGACATTTTTTCATTACTTGACGGGTTTTTTGTGTTGAATTACATTTTACTTGAAAAAATTCATTAATAAATGTTTTATAAGTTGGATTTATAAAACGACTAATTCCTAATCAACAAAAAGGAAATAATCTAATAAAATTTGTTCAGATATTAAATTTAACGAACCACGTAATAACATAAAATAAATTGGTATAATTATCATACAGCTACTAAGCCGTAGAAGTAATATACCATTTTCATATGTTAACGATCCTTTATAATAAAAATACAATATACATAATGGACAAATTGTTTGAAATATTCCAAGTAATATTTTTAACTAAATTATATTTAAAATATATTCGAAAATAAAAAGAAACACATTAGAATAAAGATATTCTTACAACAAGAAAAACAATATCACTAAGTGTTTCTGTTGTATTTTTTATGTATAGATGAGTAGGCTAGAGTAAGATAGCAAAAAAAACTTTCTTTAAAAAAAAATTTATTTGAAATATACTTGTCGAGTAGGTGATGGTGGTACAAGTGGATAAGTTTGATAAAGTTTTGGACCGAAGACACATTCCCAAAATAATACGAATTGATTTTTCAACATTAGTAAAAGGTTAAACAAATAGGAAAGAAAAAGACCATAACGTTTTACATAGGTTGCTATATAGGCCTTGCACCTGCTACACGATTTATTAAAGTTGAATGAATGAAGCAATTTGATTGGTGTTACTACGTAGAAACACATGATCAGATTGCTCAATCTTGTTTGAAGGTGTATCATGTTTGTACAAAATCATAGGTAATAAACGTTTTCTATCGCTTATGTAATAAATCTATTTAAATGAATGTGAGAAGATGGCGCTATAACTCAGAATTAGTGAATATATTCGTTTTAAAGAATCAGCATATCTACAAGATAATTGAACCATTGGACTCTTTATTAAAGCTAGTTTGTCGTATATAAACAAGATTAAAATCGTTTTTCTCTAACTTAAGATATCTTATTTATAATTTATGAGGAAATGTCCACAACTGTCAAATCACTTTTTGATTAAGTATATGTTCAAACGATAGATCTTAATGTGTTATTAAGCACTCTACAATGATTTGGTCTTCCAGGCCTTCTTAGCAGAGATATATACAATTATTACTATTATTACTTTTAGTGCTCTACTACTGTACTAATATTTTCGATATCTTGACTAAACATGCTTGAATTCGGTTCAAATTTATGTCAATATTAAGGCACTCAATACTGATTAAGGTCCCAAAGTTTGAAGGTAAATCGATGTTTCTTATTGAAGATGTGAGTTTATTTGATATACTTATTGATTATTATAAAAACAAGATGCACTCTTACTCAAAGATGCAAGTATTAATTCATCTGATACTTTCATTTCATGTTCATTTCATAATTAGCATGCGTATGGAAAAGTCAGTTCATTTGTCGGTACTGTAGTTAATAAGAATTACAAGGATGAATTTGCATACTTTTCAATATGGAACATATAGCACTGATATGCTAAACTTAATTTTTGTAAAGATATAGATATCTTGCATGTTATATTTCATTAACCGAAATAAAATCTTTTTTGTTTTGATTGAATACGTCATTTGCATAGAATCGTTGATAATCAAAATTCTCAAAGAAAGGCAATTGTATACCGATGTAGTTGAAAACAATATAATATGTTAAGTGAAAGAGTGTCTAGAGGAAGCGTTGTCAAATGCCACTTAAAGTCATGTCAAGGACTCAACTATTCGACGTATTCCATCGGCAGTGGAAAATCATTCCTTATCATTTTTATGACTAAATTCTTCTTGGTGATGTAGATACAATTGTCACGGAGCGCAATAGTATACTTAAACTACAGTCATTTATTCATAATCATTTACTATCGTCTATTTCTGTGGTTGGTGACGCGATAGTTGAGCATGTGACAGACCAGCTTCGACATCTGAACTTCAATAGATTATTAACGTAAAAAGAATGTGAATGTACGTGAATGTCAAAAAGCGATCCACATCTACACCTATATCCTTGAGAGAATTTTTCATTCCATTTAAAACATTAGCTGGTTCATTCAAGAAGAAAAGTGACTAATACGTTCGGGTGTCGTTAGATACTATGTTACGTAATCGTACTAAACAAAGGAAGTGTAATCTATCATTTATTTTGACCTATATTACGCATAAAAAGTTCAAATGTCACAAGCTTAACTGTCAGTGTATCGATAGTCATATTTTTGCTAATGCTTCTACACATTATTTCGCTTGAACAAATTCAATATGATAATACATATTTGAAAGTGATGGATAATTTATCTCATAGTAACTCATGTTTATCGATGTAGAGAACTATTAAAAATTGATTCAATGCTTCTGCAGAATAACTCTATTTAAATTTAATTTTGGTTAAATTGTTAAGTAACTTCAGTAATTTGAAACGATTCAATACAAGAAATTTTTATTTGAGAAAAATCAATACGATCCTTTAATAATAGATGTATGTACGAGATAAATTATTGATTGAAGAATAGATAGAATATTCTTGTAGACTTTCGGTATTTGTATTTTTTTCTATGATCAATTTTCTTGTAGAAGTCCTTTTTTCTCGTAACTTGTGTATTTATGTTTCTAAATAGTTGCCTATTGAATGACGAACAATATCAAGAGAATCATAAATTAATGTTCAGAATAACGAATTTGGTGAGAATTCTAATGCGATCTGAACTTTTCATGTGATAAAAACTATACTTTCTCATATTTTTCTGCATCATTTGAAGCAGCTTCAAAATAATCATAAGCTATTCATCTTTTCGAACTATTTGATGACATTTTATAAATATTGACGGATAAAATCGTTCCAGTTTTATCATATTGTTCTATGATAATTAACACTTGATCTAATGTAAGCCTATCGTTTTGAATATCAAGTTCTTTTTGAATATCTAATGTTAAATTTTCTAAAGCTTGATTATTTCATCGTTTCGTGTCAAAAAAACGTGTCAAACATAAAAAAGTAGCGAGAATTTCATTCTCATTATTAAAAAATAATGAAATCTTGAACATGAGAAAAGACTCTGGATATTTTTCTTGATCAAATTGCGAATTCCAATAGAATCGATTCATTTTCTGTATGCTGAAAATCATTATACGAAGTAGAGTCATGTATTACTTTTGATTGATTGGTGTTGACAGAACATGATTGATCGATAGAAATCTTTGAATATTCTATTGGAGTTTCTGAAAATCATCAGCACATCAACTTTAACTATGATAAATGACTATATAAGATTATCGGGTTTGTTTTGATTATATTCGTATCATGTTGACAGTTAAAGAAATATATTTTTGAATAAACAAAAAAAACCTTAGCTTGAATCACATAAAGGGTGTATACTAAGTTCTAATTCTCTTCAAATAATATTCTTTTTTCTTATATATTTTTTCAGTAGAATAGGTTGACATTTGCAGCATATATACTAGACATCTAGATCTATTTTACATTAGAATTTCAACTTTCTACCTCTTATAGTTAGACAGAGATAAGTAATCCAAAACTAATGGGAATTTTTAGATTTATTTCTGAGGATTTTTCTGCCGTTTTATGGAGGATATTAAATAAAAAGCGATGGCTTTAACGAGGTTTACAAATCGAAATTCTTTAAGTATAATAAAGCAAAAAACACCGTGCGTCAATGTTTATGTATCTGCTCTCCATCTTAACTTGCATCACTCGACCTTCCAATTCTAATTTATTTTCAAAACTTTCCTGAAGTTTTGTCGTTTCTGCACGTTATGAGCATCAGATAAAAACAAATCAAGCAATTTTTCTTTCTTAATAACCACGTGGATAAATGACAGAATGCAGGAATGATCTGCAGAAAAATAAGAATAACTCATTATAAGAGATTGTTCGAATGAGCATAGTATTTTCATCCGTGCTGTTTGTAAAAATAAATCCAAAAATTTCTACTAATTTTAGGTTACTTATATCTTTCTGACTACAAGAGGTGTAAAGCTGAAATTCTAGTGTTGAATAGATCTAGATATCTAATATATATACTGCAAATGTCAGCCTATTATACTGAAAAAGAAACATATAAGAAAAAAGAATATTACTCGAAGAGGATCAGAAGTTAGTATACACCCTTTACACATATTTCATGAGAGAATAATGTTAAAGAGTTAAAATTTTGGCCAACGAGAGATTTCATTGAGTACTCACTTTGATAAAAATTTCAACAATCTATACAGCTTGTGTTGCTCAGGAGGTCTTCACCAAAATCATAATTGTGCTCAAAATAACAATTTTTGGAAGTACCAATCTAGAGGAAAGTCAGAGTTGTATGATTTTCAATTACACATTGATTACTACAAAGTCCTGCAAGAATTGACATAGGACATTGTAGAATAATTTGCTAAGTCTTATCACAAAGAAGCACCAGAATCGCTCCTTTTTCATACTTAACATATACAAATGGTTCAGAAATTAACGGAAAAATTTCTACATATGAAACAATATTTTATTCAGTACAAAACAGTGCTTGATCTTCTATTAATTGGTATATATAACTTCTTTGAAAAAAACAAACAAGAATATTTTTTTTTAAATTTCCCGTGCCTGCTCCTCTACCAGGGTTTAAGGGTCAACAGATTTTTTTTTGTCAGTTTCAAACAAGTTATATATATTAATTAATAGAATATTAAGTACTGATTTGTGCTGGATATAAAAAAACTTGTTCGATATATAGAAATTTTTTCGTTAATTTCTGAACAATTTGTATCTATTAAATATGGAAAAGGAATCGTTTCGGAGTTCCTATTCGATAAGACTTTGCAGGATTATTCTACAGAAGCAAACTAAAAGATTTTATACATTCATCTTTTGATAAAACATAAGTTTGCTTTGTTATGTGTGAGATGATTGCTAACATATATGATTATGTTGAATAGTCCGTCAGTTTCATAAGCTTGGACAAACTCGTAATACATTGAAAACTTTGTTATACACAGAGTGCAAATATCTTTATTAAAGTGAGATATATGTATTCATTAATTGCAAAATCAAGTACATTTTAGAATAAATGCATATCAATAATCTTTTTAACATATAAAAGAAAAAGCCTTGCAAACATGAACACAAGCACACAAAATCGAACAAAAAAGAAAGAAACGTGATATTTTTATTATTATTTAAATGTTTCTATTAAGTAGTATACCAAGTTGTGTTGCAGCCATACTCATATGTTGTATTTTATTAACTTTTTCTTGAAATTCTTCTTCATGTTCATCTTTTTCAAAACATATTGCTGCAATACGATATGTTTGAAGAATCAGAATAAGAAAATTTTTAAACGTAAAGAAATACGTTAAAAATGATCTCACATTATAAACATTAATAGCAATAAGACGAAGAGCAAGAAATGGACCATCTTGCAATGATAATGTAACAAGTATTGACCACATTTCAGAACGAAGAAGTTTTGATGATCGTTTAAGAACAAAAAATTTTACATTTCCACCAATAGGTCTTTTACGTGGAACTCTTTTAGTAATTGGAGAATTCGAAAAAGGTGATTGTAATGAAGTAAGCGAACTAATTGATGCACAAGGATTAATTGTTAGTCGATCTGTACTTGATGGTGACTCAGCTATAGAAAACATGAATCAATAAATTAATAAAAAAAAAAAAAATTATTTTCGTACGTAAATGATATATATTTAAGTCCAGTTCATTTCTTCTAATTGCTTCTGTATGTTGAAAAGTTGTATTTGATGAATTAATGACAGAAACTATTGGTACTCGTGATTGTAAGCTCATTGTTGGATTTTTTCTTTTTGGTGTCACTGGTTGAGTTGTTGATGATGATGCTGATCGTGATAAAAATTGATGCTGATGTGGTAAAGGTTTTGTAATTAATGGTGTTGGTAGTTCAGATGGTGCTGATTGATGCATTTCAATTTCTGCTTGATCAAATTCAGCATGAAATGATCGACCCCGAGTTGCTGTTAGATTGAGTGCAAATTGAAGCATACATAAAGAAAAAATAATGAGAACTGAATGAACCATTGGTAAACTTATTTGAATTTCTCGTTCATTAAATAATGTGAATAAATCAAGTATATCCACAGCAAGTGATAAATAGACAAGTAATAATTGAGATAAAGCACTATGAGAAATATTTCCTTTTGGTACAATCCATCGACCAAGAATAATAATAAACATAAATGAAAGTTCAACAATCATTGAATCTTCCATACCCCATTCTTTGATCTAAACATAAAATTTACTTTACACAGCTGATAAATATATACATATATACAAAAAAAAAAGAAATTATATAAATATAAATTATTCATGCTCTATTCAAATTCATGCAATATCATTTTTAATGAGCTGTGTATTTAATGATTTTCTTAACATTTGTGTTCTTGGTGATACTGAATAAGTATCTATATCATTTTGATCTTCATAACCCATATGTTCCATATAAATAGACCATAAACGATAAACTTGTAGAAATAAAATTAAAAAATTTTTACAAGTAAAAAACATCGTTGTATATGATTGTACTTCAAAATGTATAACAGCAATAAGACGAAGTGTAAGAAAAGGTAAATCTTGCATTAATATAGTTATAAATATTGATGGAAGTTCACTATTACATAATTTTTGACATATTGTTTGTATTGGTTTTTTTCCATATCGACGAAAATATTGTTGTTTATAATTAGGATCAAAATTTTGATTTGATAGATCAGAATCAAGACGAAAATTTCTTCCACGTGTTGCAACAAGATTAAGAGTAAATTGAAATGTTGACCATGAAAAAATAGCTAAAATTGAATAAACCATTTCTCTATTGCGTATAACTTTATCTTCTTGAAAAATAGATAATAAATCAATCATATCTGATGCTAATGATAAATAAACAAGTAAAAGTTGAGATAATGCAGAACGACTTGTTTTTCCTTTTGGTAACATCCAACGACCAATTATTATTATCATTAAAAATGTTACTTCAATCGCCACAGCCCAATCATCAATTGATAGTGAAAGTAATTTCTGAAACATGCAAGAAAACAACACGTGTCTATAATATGCACATGCAATATAATTCTCTGTGAAAAAAAACAAAATATATATATTTATGTTAATCTGAAATTGTAAAACAAATGATAATACTACTATAAAATTGTAGTATTAATACTCGTAAAAAATGAAAACTACTCGACGTGATGGACTGAAATGTCTCGGTCAAATTCTTATCCTAACGACATAACGATCTTGTTTGTCTGCAATATGACAAACTTCTTGAAAGGTTTAATTATACGAATGTATGATTGATTAGTAATCCAGATTGTAGAACTACGTACAAGAAGATATGCTTTTTCTTTTCTGGAAAACAGTTTTTCGTTAGGTTTTTCATTCAGACTTATTCAAAAAATTTGCTATTAATTCATTTATTTTGAACCCTCGAAATCAGATTTTTATTTGTTTTGTGTTTTTTTCTTTCTTGCTATTCTTTTACACCAATCACATATGAAATAATAAATATCATTATAAAAAAAAATAGCCTGTTTTCAAGTATCTAGAAGCGGAAATATATAAATCTATTTTTCTTTGACATTTTTTTCAAACTCGGAAATCGTTTTTCTAGTTATTTTATTATTGGGATTCTAAACTCTCCATATAGAACAATAAAACTTCATCTATTTTTATAATTCTTCAGTACATTACAAAACAATGTATTTCCATTCTGTTAATTAATAAGAAAAAATAAAAAGAATATTCATGCCTCATTTATTCATTCATAGCCAAGATAAACAATTAATCAAATCATTGATGCTTGAGTGCATTTTTTTTGTTTTAAAATATAAATCGAAATTTATTATCATGCATTATGCAATTATTTAGTAGAATTCTTGGTTTTTTTCTCCCTCACCTTTCGTATGAACATATCCTATAAAAATTTATTTTTTCGATTTAAAATGAAATTCTTTCTTCTTATAGTAAAAATAAATAATCAAATAAACATACCGTTTTTTCGTTGAGATTAGCTTTCGAAATAATACCTTTTTCAATCATTAATGTTAATTCAGCTCCTTCTGTTTGATTAAGTGGTACAAGACCAAGTTTATTATTAATTCGATTTATTTCAAGAAACCATATTGGTGGAATCATTGTACAAATATAAAGGAAAAAACAAGGTGAAAACCTGAGAAAAAAAAAAAGAAAACAGATTATTTAGATTTGTTTGTTTTTTTTTTGTTTCTTATTAATTAAATTTTTACCATTTTGGTTCTTTTCCTAAAAATAAGAAAAAATAAAAATTTAAATAAGAAAAGATTAAATCAAACCTTTTCGTTTAACAATTGTAACAATTAATTCAATAAGAAGAAAATTAACTCCACACATATTTAATAAATACCAATAATCACCTTTTATTATAACAATACGTATAATAGCAATAGTTGCATGAAGTGCAAATATAATTCTCATTATAATCGCTTTTAATATATCCAATGAATGACATACCCAACGACCACATTCACGTAAAGTTTCTCGTGTTTTTGACATTGTTTGATATGTATAGATTTAATTTAGTGACGAAAATTATGTATATAGATATATATTATATTAGAAAGATAATTGTGGCTGCAAGGTTCACAAAAATTGTATAAATGACGGAAGCAATAGTTGCTCGTGTGGAAACATCAACAAACGTCAGAAAGCAAGAGATTAATAATAATGACTTGGGACCACAAACCGATCTCTTTTGTCTCTCATTGCAATAAGAGCGAATGCGAGAGAGAAAGAGAGAGAGAGAGAGAGGGGGAGATTAATTACTTCGAATGTCAAACAATATGTGAAAAGAATGATAGAAAAATAATACTTGAAACAAAACTCTATAGCACCACAAGGATCAATTATTATTTATTCCCATTGGATGGGCCCTTTGGTTCAACAAGGAAACTACAAATTATATATATATTGACATGTTGCAAAATAATAGGGCTTCTAACTAAGATCATTTGTTCGTTTTGATATATATCATTGTGATAGAAATGATTTTGTCTTATGTCAAAAAAAGAAATATCTTACTATTTATTGTCATGTCCTGGAGAACGATGAAATATGCACATACTCTCTTTTTTTTTGTTCTATCTGTTACATTATAGAATATCAATAGAGCAGTTATGTGTGTGTGATTGACAACCAATTAAGATAGCGGATCGACATTATTATTATTTTTATTTTATGTACGAAATGACACAAAACAGACAAAAATTTATTGTTTTTACGAATGATTTAGTTTTTTGTTTATTTTTTTTTGTTCAAGTACGATGTTGATAACCATATAAAAGTGATGATTGAGAACTTCGATGTTGAACAATATGTTTAATTGTCCTTGATTGATTTGTTGCTGGTGGTAAACGATAATTTGATTGACGACTTGAATATACGCGATTTTTTTGTGAACGACTATCATCAGTTGAACGACGATGCGGATGTTTCGTACTTGCATTACTATATCGAGTTTCTGTTAATGACCAACGTCCACCATTTATTCTATCAGATGATCGTCTTGTTAAATAACTACAACCACAATTTTGTCTAAATATTAAACAAAAAATTTATAAATTTATTATAAATGATAATTTGTAAAAATAAGATTCTTATTTACCTGCAACGAAAACAAAAATCTGTTGCAAATAACCAATAAATAAGTGGATTAGCCAATGAATTCATATAACATAATGATGATGTTACTCGAATAAGAAGATAATTTTGAATTAGATTTAGTGAATTCATAATCATTAAAAGAAAATAAGGAGACCAACAGGCAGTAAAAGCTAAAGAAAAAATAAAATTATCTTCTTATCGTAGGTTTTTTTTTCAATTAATTTTCTTCAAGAATTTTTTCTTATTCAATGAAATCGACAGAAATTCCTTTTATTGTATTATACAGTAAATCATATCATTCAATGTCTTTAACCATGTTAAAATGAGTAATTATATATTGAACGTTTTGTTTTTCAAAATATTTATAAATTTTATTATCAATCTGATGTTCAGTCAATGATCCTGATTCATTAAGCTCTTCTCAAAAACTAATCTTCAGCGAGGTACGTAAAGATCAACTGAAATTTTCAGACTATGCTGCAGTTATAGTAAAGAAGTTTTACTAAAAATTTTCAGTTCTATGCTCTATTTCTATTTATTTAATTTCTTTTTCATTTGAAAGAACATGTCTGATTGCAGTGTTCTCTTTTTTTTTGTCTTAATTCTGACTTTTTATACCGAGAAAAAGAACGACAAGTCTGATATTTTGAGAAATAGTCATCTATTTATAGAAGCATTTTTTTATAGATAATAATAAAAAAACTTCATTCAAAAATTGGGCACTGTAACTTAACATGCTCTTTTCAAACATAGAAAAAAAAATCAATTGACTACAGTAATGTTTCTTCAAGAATTCTGTCATGCACGATTAGAAAAGCATAACTCGATAAACAAAAAATACGAAAAAGGCTTCCTGTTTTTTCTGAAAATAACATGTTTATCAAGTTGAACGTGACGGAAATCATCGAACATTTTTTTTTTATAAAAAGAAATGACCTGCTAAATATAAAAAGTCATATTATTTGTAAATGATCCAACCTCCAGCTATCCCTTTCATACATTTATTCTTATTTTGATAAATTTGACGGAAATAGAGTTTTTGTTTTTTTTGAGAGGGGAAACTTAATCATTCATATTAACATGCATCGATAATGGCTTTAGATCATTCAACAAATGAAAGACTTTTTTTTTTTAGAATATCATTATACTCATCGTTGCGTTCATTTTCAATACTTTGAAAAAAAAATGACGTGAGAATGTTATTCGGTCAATTAAATTATCAACGCAGAAAAAAAAGGTCATTATAAGAATGATATTCTGAGACTATATTTGCTTCAATTTATTATGCTATTCTTGATCCAGATGGATAAAATTTATATCCGTTGTAAATGTGGAGAAGTTCATTTACTTCTATTATAAGAAATGAAAATGAGTTATTTATATTTACTAACCAATAACAATGACTAATGTCATTTTAACTGTTTTTATTTTTGCTCGTGGTATAACACCAAGTGATCGTTCATTACGAATGCTCGATTCCATTTGATGATCATCTATCAATTACAAAAACAAAAAAATACCTAAATAAATACAATCTAACTAAGAAAAACAAAATATTTCTCTACCACTAAAAAACGCTCTTTTAGCTCCAATTAATCGACGAAATTTTGAACTATTATTTTTTCTTTCAATTGATGTTCGATCTTTTCTAGCAATTGAACTTTTTTTCCATATTATTACAATTATAACTACATATGAAACAGTCATAACAATTAATGGAACCAAATATATGGAAATAAATAGAAAATAGACGTATGCCTAAACAAAAAAAAAAACCTATTTCGTAGTTTCTTCGTTTAAAATTTTTATTTATGCTTAACTTACATTCCAATTTACAACGTCAGATCGATTACCACATACTGGCATACCACGTATTATTTCAATATCTCGTAAATAAAGCTGAGCAGAAGCAAATGTCATTGCTATCACCCATGATGCTGTCAAATATAAAATAAAAATATTATCGAATAAAAAAAAACAAATTATTATTTAAATTACCGACGATTAACGAATATCGAAATGCTTAAAATATTTAAAAACACAATATAGATATATATATAGATATAGATATACAAATATGAATATCAAATTATTCAAGATTTACTTGAGGATGCTGTTCGTACGTCCATGGGTCGAATAATAGCATAAAGACGATCGATTGATACACAAACAAGTACATAACTAAATAAAAAAAATGAATATTTTCAAGAAAAAATATGATAATTATCTACCTTGAATTATATGAAATTGTACCCTAGAAAGAAGAAATGAATAAGTTTCCTTTCACTTATTAAAGATGATAAATATAGCAACATAGTACAAGCAATTATCGAGATCAAATTTTCACTGTTTTAATATTCCAACTTATTAAATTCAATTAGATATTTTTCTATCGAAGATTAATAACTTTCTAGTTTTGATTTATTTGAGAAAAGAAAATATTTCTGTGTTAATTTGAATAGAATTATACTAATACAAATTTATTATTGGTTCTTCTATTAATTTTCTATGTATTAGCAAATGATGATTTAATCAATTATCTATTCGGTATGACACAAACTACGACGAAAAATAATCGTTATTTTTATTATTCTAGACTAACAATAGAATTTCTAAGAATTCCAGAGAAAAGAAAACAAATACTTGTATGAAACTTGTCAATCGACAACCAATAGAACCAAGTCCAAATGGAATACAACTTTTTTCGATTATATCACGAGTAACAATAATAATGCCAACAAACAAATCTAAGTAAAACAAAAAGTAAACAAGAAGTTGAATGGGTGCATAGAATATTTGTTTTCTTTTAAAAATAAGTATTTTTGTCTTCGATTTCTTTTGTGTTTATAAAAAACAATTCAATCATCTGAATAATCAATTAAATACAATTAGCTTTAATGTACTCCAAAAAACAAAAAAAAAAAGAAAAACGTTTGTTTTATCGTCATATAACCGTAATTATATTCGATGTGTCCATAATAATATTCATGATTGAATAATTCAAATATGCATAGTAATACTTACTCGGCAAGTATCGTTCATATACAAAGATTTCCGAAAACATTAAAAAAACAAATAAACTTACCCGCATATGCAAGATTCAATAAGAAGAAGCTCATTCGACTATGACATTTTTTTGAACAACTTAATTGAAGAATAACTGATATATTAGCCGAAACAATTAAGACAAATATAATACATAGAAAGATGATAAGCTAAAAAAAGAGTATAATTTATTATATTTTTTTACACTTTTCTATCGAATATTGATAAAATATTCTATCTTTTGGGAATCACAAGAAAATAAAATTCATAAATAGGGATTATTTTATTTGATAATAAGAATTAACTTACATGAAAATTTTTACAAAGATCATCTAATGATGATGATTCAATAATAGTTGTAGTGGTTGATTGATTTTGATTCATTATTGTAGTTATATTCGTTGTTGTTGTTGTTATTGCTATTTTATTTAAATATGTATCAGTACTACTCATGGTTATTGTTGTCATGATTGTTATATATATATATATACTCTTGATTTTATCTAATCATTATAAAAGTATTCATAAATAAAAACTTATCGATAATAATGAGAAAATCATTGCTGTTCGAAGAAATCTGTATGTATGTATGTATGTATGTGTTGAACACTCGTCTATTTCATCAAATAACAAATAGAACAATCTATCTGCAACAAGTAAAGATAGAAGAAAAACGGAAAAAAAAGACGACGAACACAAGAAGAGAAAAGTAAGAATGAGCGAAATCACAAGAGGATTTTAAGAGTTTCTTGAGATTAAATCATGATCTATGTATGGATATATGTTTACTTATTTAGAACTCATTGTAGTTGAAGATGAGTGATGATCATTTCCTGTAAAAAAGCTAGTTTACTATTGTTTTAGCTCTTGTCATCACTAACATTTGTCTTTTTCGTTTTGATAGTGTTAATCGTAGGTAGCACAATAAGAAGATATATCCACTAAGTAGGATGAGGAAATGAGACAGATACTTCTAAACACGACAACAGTGACATGATGGTGGTGTGTTTTCTTTTTTGTTGATTGTCTGTAATTGTCCTCTGACTTCTTGATAGGAAAAAAAGGATAATATTCTTGTTTGTGTATATTAAGAGATAAATGGGCAAACATATTTTTTTTGTCTCCTACTTCTCAAATGTCAACTTATAGAGACCGTTTAAGATACAATACACCGTAATATGCCTAATTGATATAGTAGTAGACATACCCTCGATATGAAAATGATGTGAACCGAAACGCAACCACACTTTTTCTTACATACATATATATATATATAATTTTTTTTATTACTATTTCGTCTAAATTAATCTAAATAACACTAGTAAAAGCTCTCATCCTTTTTCTTTAATCGTTTTCTTCCGTTCTTTCATACTAACTCAAATCTTCTCCTTTCATATAAAAGCATGAGCTAGTGCTGACGAAAATAGTCAACTAATATACAATACAGACAACGATGTCAATTGTCTTTTACACGCGCATTGAATTTTAGTGTTCCTCTTCTTATAGTAAAAATCTTTGAACGCTAGAGGCGCAATGATGTATGTGTGTGTGCGCATGTGCTCCTTTTTTCTTATTCTCTTTCTATCTATTTAAGGATAGTCAAAGAGAAATAACAGGAACTTGTATATGTTCCGGCGTGGAAACATAAGAGTATCAACACTGATAATTTCGTCGTCCGCTGCCAATGAGAAAAGATCTATTCTAAGAAAATATCGCCCATACAGTACCAAATGACATGTCACAATCATTTTATTATCAAGATAATATAGATACATATGCCAGATAGAGTTCTCATGATTAATGAAACATATTTCTTTAACTTTGTCTATTGTTTAAAAGTTTAACTAATTAAATTTTAAATTGATCAAACAAAAAAAAAATTAACAATTTTTAGTTTTTTTTTTCTTTTTAATATGAATCATATACTTGTAATTGATTTGTTCGATGTAAAGTAGTAAAGGCTTGTCGTAAATAAATATTAAGTGCTAAGATTGGTAAAGCACAAAGTAATAACAGGATTAGACTATACAATATAAGACATGTTGATGAAATTGGATCGATATATCGAATATTTGAAACGATTTTAATTGATTTTGATGGATTTAGTTTTAAATTTATTTCATTTGTATTTTGCACCATTCGATCTTCCTGAATTGTGCTACTAAAAAAAAAATTAACGTTAAAAAATTTAAAAAATAAACTCATGATAACGAATAATTAGAAAGTTTTTAGATAATATATTTATTCAATTTTGAAAGCTATGATTTTGTGCTCTTTTCGACTATGAGCTTAGAAGTTTTGATAGAAAACTTTTTTTATTATCACTATTGTGATTCGAAACTAAAATTTGAAATCTTTGTTTATCTATTAGATCGTAGATTAGAAGCTACCCTACAAAATATATTCTTTGAAATTCTGTTTTGTCTTTCGACAAGATATCTCAATTTTCATTTTTCTTAAATACTGATTTTTGAAAAATTGACAATCGTTTCATACTGAAAAGAGCTCTTGAAAAAAATACTTGAGTAAAAGCTACAACTTAGTTCAATATCATATTTTGTAGAGAAGTGTTCGCTCTCTTCGACAATTTTTCGCATCTTCGAAAAGAGACTTATAGTGTAAACGAAAACCTATTGGCTTATCATTAAGAATAGTTTTTCAACTCTTTTGACAAGTTCCATAAAAAAAGACACAATATCTCTAAGCCTGTATTCAAATTCTGGTTGCGATATACAGCTTGTGATCCGTCTAAAATGCTTTCAAACAGGCCAAAATGAATAAACACGTTTATCAGAAACGGCTGTTCATAAGTTCCGTCCAAACTAATTTGTTTCAGATTTTTCAAAGATTATTTCACTACTCTCAAACAAAACTTCTAAACCTATATTCTCGTCCTAATTCATAGCTTTTGACTTGTCGGAAATCAGACATGGGATCGGCTCGTAGTTTTTTTGAAATCGAGCCAATCCCATCTGTGTCGAAAATACGTCAAAAATGATTAAACATCTTGTCTTATAAACTTTTCGATTATCTGTTATCAAAAAAAAATCAGATGGTTTTTTTTTCAATTAAAATAAATAATTATATTAATGTTTAATCCTTCGGAAATAAGATGATTTAAGAAGAAATTATTATTATTTTTTGTTTGCGGTTCAACTTACTTATTCAAATTTGTCGATTGAAGTGCCTGATTGTATATAATAGGTCCCAATATGGGCCACATATTAATTAATCACGGCACACAATTGAAAATATGATCACATTTTTCAATTAAACTTGTTTACCATATTAAATCGGCGGGAAAATATTACAAAAAAAAATACGTATATAAAGAGAGTAAATATATTTTTTATAATCATGCAAAAATGCAAAAAATTTTCAATCATGGCGCAAAAATTTAATTGATTATGAGAAGCTAAGCGTAATATTTAGATCAATCAATAATTTCCTTAAGTAGGAAGTAGTAATAATACAGTATAGGCTTTACACTTTATGAACTTGTCGGAAAGAAAGAAGAAGAAAATATAACGAGCTCTCGAGGCTTTTGCTTTATAGTGAATTCTTTTCATATAGTGTAAATTTCATTGTCACATTTGTTTTGTTATAGATTCGAATAATATTTTAGAATTATTTTTATTAATAATCAATGAATGAAATAAGATTTCATAAGAAAAAAATCTATTTTTTAAAATTAATACTTATTTATGAATAATAATGAGAAACATAATAAAAGACAAAAAAAAATTGCACAATAATTAAAATAAAAAAAAAAATTCTAATATTTTGATGACGGAATATTATCATTGTTGGTTTGAAAAAAAGAATAATTATATATTGACTCTTTCCGTTGCTAATATTAAAAACCGAACAACGAATAGAAATTTTTCTCCTCCCAAAAAAAAGCATTCAAGGCCAAGTTGTTTATCGTCATGACTCAACAACATGCTACTTCCATGTCTTTTTTTTTTTATTTATTCACCTTTCTTTTTCTCTATGACGCATACTTCGCATTTCGTATCGCAAACAATGATTGGCTTTCTTTTTGTATTATAAAATCTTTCGATGAGTATTTTTGTGTTACACTAAAGAAACACGATTCATATTAAGATCTTTTTCTAGTGACTATAAGCAACACTTTTTCAATTTCTTTTCATTTATAAAGTCGTGCATAGGATTTTTTATCGTTTTGTACTGAAGAAAATATTAGTGTAGGTGTTATGAAGAACACAAAGTTGGTTTTTTCCCAGCTACTATAGCTTGGTGCTTGGAATTTTCCAAGTGACTAATATATATACCTCTCGACGAGCCACAGATGAAAAAAAGGAAAAAGGACATTACTCCTTCGGTGCCACCTTGAATAGTTTATGTTTTAATTGTTGATCATTTAAAAAATGACAAACGATGAACAAATAAATATGCTTGTATGCTGGAAAGAACAACGAAGACCAGTTCTAATAAAAATCAATGATGATATATCTACAATTGAGAAAACTATTATTAATGTCTTCCAATTGCAACAAGTGAATAATCTTTATGAATATCAAATTCAATATTATGATAATGATTATCAAAGATTTGTTGATTTATATCCTGAAACATTACATTTATTTCAACAGATTTTACATAAACTTTTATCACCCAACGCACCACTAAGATCAACAAAACAATGGATTTTAAAAATTGTTTCGAAAGCATTTGAAACTATACGTAAGTGAAATAATAAAAAAAAATTATTTAACTTATTTTTGTTTTTCTTTTTTTTGATTTACAGGTCATAGATTAGGTGAATCAACTGATGATACATATAGTTATCAACAAGAAAATGATCGAACAGAACTTATGCTAAATGAAAATACTTCATCTATAACGGATAATATCGAATTATCTTCACTTTCAGGTAGATTAAATATCATCAAGAATCGTGACCATATTCAGATTTTGAATTTTATTTAGGAATTCATCAATCACAAAATTTGCCTAGATCTCAAACAGTTCAAAATAATATTGATCAACAACAAGATACAAGTCGATATGATGATCAACTATCACAATCAAATATAGCTAATGGTGAATTAACTATTACACATGAACATCCATACGGTTTTGGCTTTGATTTAAATCTGGCCATACATCAACGATTACAATTTGAAAGTGACATGTTTCGTAAAAGCACATCAAAGTATGAATATTATCTTTATTGAATCATTCTTTTGTATGTTCGTTTTATATAAAAGAACAACCACTGGTGGTGTTCTACTTCGAGCATCTCCTAAACTGGATTCAACTACAACCGATGATATACTTTATCCAACTGTTCATGTAATTCATCTTGTTAAGAAATATAAGACGATTAAAATTATATTTATTATTTTTTGCTGTTTAGTTTCAAATTCCAAACGATCAACTTCATCTTGCATGGTTTGTTTATATTTACATATTAACTGAAGCAGATGTAAATGGTATGCATTATTTACATGCATCAAAGGGTATATTTGATAATTATGCAAAAGTTCAAAATAAATGTGGTATCATTCCAAATACAGACTTAGTTAACCCACATATTGTTCACTTATGTCAAAACGATCTTCGCGATGGAATATATGAGTTTGTATTTTATTTTTTAATAAAATAATTTTTTTTTTTATGTTTATTTATTTTTATTTAGACTTCGCATAAAAGTATGCAATATTAGAAATTTACCATCTCTTAAACGTGAATATTTACGAGAATTTTCTCGATTAAATAATCTTCCAATTAATAATGATAAAGAATTATTATCTACCAAAACAACATTTGATTTAAATTTTTCAAGTGAAAAATATCACGTTGCATGTATTCTTTTTCGTAATGAAGAAGCATTAGATCAATGTATATCAAGTTTAACTATTGCTAGTAAACGAAAATTTAATTAATACATAGATGAATATGATTATGGAAATTTTTCTTTTTTTCTTTTTAGAAAGCAATCGTAAACGAAATGATAGTGATAGATTAAGACAACAATATGATGAATATTCAGTAAAGAAACGGAGAGAAAATTGAATTAGCAATAATTTGCAATATATTATTAGGAAATTTCAATTAGGATTATTTTTAAAAAATCTTTGGATTTATATACAAATATTGATTCAATTGTTTATTGTCAATAGGATGGTTCGTCATGAATAGATTTGAATAAATTAATTCCTAATATTGATTGTCGACCATCGCTAAATCTATTATTCCAGAAATTGGACTTTTAAATGCGGTGCGAAGCTGAGTATTCATATAGTCCTTCGCAAGTTTTTTTTTATTTAACTTTCTCAAGATATGTGTCAAAATTGTTATTTTGTATACGCGATGATCTCGAGAACGGAAATTGAAAATTCGCATTCAAGCGTGAGATGAAAGTATCGAGATCAAACCAATATCATCGTCTTCCCAAGGACGTTCCGTTTGTTTACGATTAGCGTCCCAAAAAAATTAGTTCCTTTTTTTTCAATCTCAATGATAATTATAGTGGTAACAGCAAAAAAATGTTAACCGTCACTTTCTGAGCTTATAGTAAAAACGTCTATGAATACAGTTAATAATAGATAATGAATAGAAGAGTGAATCAAGCGATTCATTGAAAGTATTTTTTATTAAAAACATGTTGATATCTGTTTAACAGAGTTCAATGTTTTGACTTCGGTCCAAATGTAAATTTTACGATTTACTACCCCGAAAAAAAACCTGATTTCAGTAAAAATATTTTAGTGAAAAGCATTTCGTAATCAATCTTAGAGACAATTATTCATTTCTTATGAGATATAGGTTTTTCGAACAATCAACGTTTGAAGCCTCGCACCGTATTTCGCATTCGAGTAAAACTCGAATGTTATCTCGTTTTTTTCTCTTTTCAATAAAAAATATTGTTATTGTGTGAAATTGAATTAGTTCTATTTTTTTAAAGAAATTGTTAATCTCGTTTGTTTTTTAAAAGAATAGAAATAAAACTATTGTAAAACATATGTATCAATATGACAATGAATTAAAGGCAATGAAGAAATTAACAGACCAAGTTCAGAGTTAATAAAAAAAAATATCCTTTAATTCTGGAGAGTTATGAAGCAAAAAAAAATTTAGAATTTCATACTGATTGTTACAAGAGAAAATGCCTTCTTAATTATCTATCTTTTCAATGGTATACTGATAGATGAGCTCCCGATAGATGAGCCATCTCTTCCCGACAATTGAGCTCTCGATACTTGAACCTGATATAAATAGGAGATTAAAATTATTGTAATTGCTCATCCGAAAGTCATACTGAACATGTTTCTTAAGTTTTGGGTGTAGGGTATGGGCATTCGTTTTCATTTGATTCACACCTACACCATTCTGATGGTTGATATCGAGCTATTAAAGTACTGTTAATTTCTTATGTATTTTCCTCGATACAATAGCTCATGTGTCTCTGGTCAGAGTTCAGTACGAGAAAAATCATTACTTTATGAATTTTTCGAAGACTTGAAAAGAAACAACATGCCAACTTGATAATGACTCAACAATTATAATCTGGACTTGTGAAACTAACGAAACATGCAAAATATGAACTTTTGAATGAGCAATTACAATAACTAGTTTATTCTTTTCATTCGATAACAAGAGACTTGTAATTCAAAAGAACAAGAGCTCTGTTGAATTTTTTACGTGAATGTGAATTTATTCGAATAATATTTTTTTTTTGTATGTTTTAATCTCTTGTTTATGTCAGGCTCAAATATCGAGAACTCATCTGTCGTGCTCACCCTTTTAAGTTTGCATAGAAAACAAAACGTCATTTATATCGAAAATCAAATTTATTAAACTAATTTATTCTTCAATATGAAAAATAAAATATACATACTAAAATCTGCAAATAATAGAAGAAATAATCTATTTGACCTTAAATCTTAGAATAATAATTTTACATTGGTAATAACGGATGATTGGAAAGTTTTTAAACAAGATGTTTGTTCAGTTTTGACGTATTTCCGACAAGTCAAAAGTTATGATTTTGTGCTCTTCTCGACTGTGAGCTTAGAAGTTTTGCTCGAGAATGGTGAAGTAACTTAGTTTCGATGAAAAATTTTTGTATTTTCACTATTGTGATTCGAAACTAAAAGTTAGGATCTTTATTTATACTTATATCAGCTTGTAGATCAACAGCTACCCTGAAAAGTTCACTAATTCAAGTTTTGTTTTGTCTTTCAATAAGGTACCTCAATTTCCATTTTTCCTAAATACTAATTTTTGAAAAATCGACAATCGTTTTATATTAGAAAGAGCTCTTGAAAAAATACTTGGTTAAAAGCTACAGCTTACTTCAATATCACATTTTGTAGAGCAATCTCTGCTCTCTTCGACAATTTTTCTCACGTTCGAAACGAAACTTATAGTGTAAACAAAAACTTATTGGCTTATCATTAATAATAATTTTTCAAGTTTTTCAAAAAGTTCCACAAAAATAGATACAACATTTCTAAGTCTCTATTCAAATTCTGATTGTGACCTATGGTTTTTGGCTCATCTGAAATGCTTTCAAGCAATCAAAATTAATAAACATATTTTGTCCAATCTAATTTTTTTAAAGATTTTTCAAAGATTATTTCACTACTCCAGAACAAAATGCTAAGCCCACATTTGAAAAGAGCACAAAATCATAGCTTTTAACCTATCGGCAACACGTCACAAGTGAACAAATATCTTGTCTATAAACTTTCCGATCACTCGTTAATCAATAAACAATACATCATTTATTTCTATACTTCTCACATAAAACTGAATGAATTACATAGTATTTGTTTTTCTTCTTGAATTAATTTTATTATAAGTTTACTGATGCTTAGAAAATGAAATAGTTCAATAAGGAATTAAGGAAAAAAAAACTGTAGTAGGCCAACGAGAAAACGTAACATTAAACCTGTTACAACTTAGGTTTGATAGTTAGTATTAAAGCAACACGTAGTTACGAATATGGAGGAAATTCATAAATTATCTAATATACTTTTTCTTTGTAATTTTCCATTGAAATTTGGTAATAAGAAAGGCACGTATCGCGCAATCCGTCTTAAAGACGCATTTCTTTAAGATTATTGTTAAATTTATAGGATTTTACGAAAATATTGGATTCTTTGTTTTTAGATATTCAACTATGTATATTCGGCATTGTGTATATAATTTCTAGTAAAATCTTATTAGATCGCTTGCATGCAACAATTCTTATTTGGCATTTAGAGAAAAGAAAAATTTTTTTTTTGAGTGTTCTTTGAAAAATCATGTTGTCAAATGTTAGACTTGCTCTGTAAAAGATTTATTATTATGCTATTGGATGTAGAAGTTAATTCTTAAGAAAACTGTATCAAGGTTAAATTGAACCGTGAAAATATTTCGGTTATTTTGAATGCGAAAATAACGATGACAGAGGTATACCAGAAAAAAGACTTTTTCTGATACTTTCGCTGTGTTTATTTCAAAACTATTGCTCCTAAATATACATCCAGATATACAGAATTTTAAGAAGAATTCCGTGAGATAGTTGAAAATTCATCGGAACCTTTATTTAAAAAAGTTGTTATCAGGCTTCCACGATGTTGACTGTCGTAGTTGGATGACTAAGTAGGTGTTCTTCTTCTAAATTTTGTGCCGACAAGAGAAAGTTGATGGTTTTCTACAGCTTGAAATTCTCAATCTTTAGGCATATGAGGAAATTTTTTATGATTAAAACACGAGAAAAAAATACACTGAGATTTAGTGCAATTTCTCCTGAGATATCTGTTATACATATACATATGTATATATATATACATTCAAGATAAGATATCCTTGCAGATTTCCATCATACATTCTTCATTATCTTTCATAACATTTTCTCTGTTATCCTGCAACTTTATTTATTTATAATACAATAAAAGAAAAACAAGAGTATTTATAATAACTACACAATATCCAACGATTATAAATTACTTGTAATACTCAACAAAATGTTTGTATTTTAAAACATTCTACATGCCAATATGATCTCGAATGTGTTTAACTGACAAATACCATGATCAATTATATGATTGAACATTTTTAAAAAAATATTGTTGAGTTGAATATTGTGATAAATACACATAAGATGTTCATTGTATTGCCAATTATTCTATAATGCATCAAATAATTATACAACAAAATTAAATTTTCTACAGAAACATTGATAAATATATTTGACATATTACAAAAAGGTTTCAAAAATAAACAAAAATATGTGTATTACTATCAACATAGAATAAAACTAAGCATTGCAGCTAAACATATGACAATAAATAATTTTAAAAAATTAGGTCGTTCAATATTTGTTGAACTCATATTAATATCATCTATGTTGATTTGTTTTTTTGTTTGTAATATTAAACCATCATCAGAAAAACATGATGATGAATTATCAATATCATGTATTTCAAAACGACGTGAAAGACAAAATTCATGTCCATTTGCATATAATTCACCAACAGGTATACCTTTCATTAATGCTCTTGCACATGCTTTATACATTCGATCACAATATGATAAACATACATGTAAACGTTCACTTCGATAAAATCCATATTGTAATGGTGAACATACATAACACATTAAGACATTAATGAAATGTGTACATTCTGATGATGAACCAATTAATGGACGTACCTAAATAGAAAAAAAAAGCAAAGCATAGTTGAGACTATAAATGAATATATAAATTTTATTAGTTTTAATTAACCTGAGAAAAAATAAGACGCACTTCATTATCTCGACAACAACTATTCTCTCTAAGCCATGTACAATTAGTCAATCCTGGTTGTGGACTTGGTGCACGATTAGAAAAAAATGAACAATATGGAGCAGTATTTGATGATAGTGATGAAGCAGAATAAGAAAAATTATTTGTTGTGCATACAGACGACAACAGAAAATAAAAAAGTGAAAGTAGAGTTAATATGAACTCTTGTGCCATACAAAATACAAACAACCAAACATTAGATAAGACTATACATAATCTAAAATAAAACATATAAACTATGATGCGAAAGTTTCGATACAAAATATTCGCTCATTTTTTCGTTATTAAAAGAAAACTGGTTAGAGGCATAATCAGATCTTTTTTTATTATTTCCAAATATATGCTGAAATTTTCCTTCTCAGGTAAGACTAAACAACTATTAGTAAATTTTTTGTGAAAAAAGTTCAAAACTGCGTCTATATAAAGTCAAATAGCGGTTTTGGTGAAGGTCCTAAAAATGAGATATTACAATCAAAAATGTAAGCCAATGTATTGATCGGTGGCGACAACTAGGAATATTTGAAATTTCGACGGTAGGAAATTTTCTTAATCTCGAGAAATTTCGAAATGAAAAAAAGAAAAAAATGGATGGTAGAGAACTTAGAACTGCATCAAACACAAAGCTTTAGAATTTGGTTTTATATAGTCTGGATCTGAGATTTGATATAGTAACATAAGGTGATATCAACAACGATCTACTTTACTAGTAGAGATGCGGCACAATCAGAAAAAGATTTTGGTACCAAATCCTTCGTATTTGGATTTTGATTTGGTCTTAGATAAACATAGCATAAATAGTTTGCGCTCCGATAACAATCATCAAATTATAAACTATTTATATAGATTTAGTTTAAAAGCAAATCCATGCTTCATATCTAAATCTAAGCTGCCAAATACAAATAAAATCATCTATTCTAGATTTGTTGCATCCTAAGAGAATTTCTTGACAAGAAATCAGACGCTAGCATCTCCAAGAAGAACTGGTTTGAGACGTTGAAAATTTTCAAAAATCAAATATCTATTTTTGTACGTGGCGGCAACACAGCCAATCAGCTTACACTTCTAGTTACGGTGAGCGAAATCTCATCTATGCGTTTATACTAAAGCGTTAGTTTCTATAGAAATTGGCAATGGTTAGAAAATCTCTGTTTCAAAAATACAAAATTTTAAAAATTGTCATGCAAAAATAAATATCATCCTTTGTAGAACAAGTTTTGCTCTACAAAATTAATCCATTAAAAACTATTTCGCATTGTTTTTTAGTTTGATAGGTTTCAATCGATATACAATATCGACTATACTAGTATTCTGTACAATCACTAAAGTTTAATTCTATCTGAGTGCTTCTGGATCTAACCATCTGTCTTTAAGTGACCGAAAAATGAATGAATATTTTGTGCCGAAACTTTCGTGTCATAGGTTAGTAATTACAACAAAGTTCAAACAGTTTTTCGTGATATTATTGTTGTCATGCTTTAAAAGTTAGAAATAGTGCTGAAAAGTTCTCTTTCACTCTACAAATAATAACCTTTGTTTTATAACTAAATGTTTGTATAGTCATTGATTGTATTTCTCATCTTCTTGAATACATATAATCACTTCAAATAATGAGTTTAATAAATAATCATTGAATTAGAATTCTTATCTAAAATGACAACAGAAAGTTGGCATTATTAGGTTTGTTGTGCATATATATGTATAAATCAAGAAAATATAAACAAATAGATGAATGCTTAATGTAACAAGGCTTTTCTTTTCTTTTCGTTTTTTTTTTACAAACACACATCCTTCAAAAAAAACATTGACAACATTATTTTAAAAATTTCAAATCAACAAAGCAAGCAAAAAAAAATAAAAAAAAACAAAGATTAATAAATAAATATCACTGCATTGGAACTTGGACTGGTTGCTGTAATACAGCAGCTCTTTGTCTACGTATTGTATAAAAAACACCAATAAGTCCAAGTAATATTACCATTAAATATAAATCCCACGATGAATCTAAATCAATTGTGGCTGAATTATTTTCTTCTGTATTTGATGATTTATTGTTCGTAAATGAGAAAAAATTTGAAAATAAATTTTCAAAAATTATTTCAAACTTAAGTTTGAGAAGAACAATAGCAACCGGTAAATAAGCGTCTACATTAGTTTCTAATGCCATATCATAGAAACGTTTTGCTAGATGTATATCCTAATTTTAAAAAAAAAACAGATTAAAATATATAATAATCAAATGAAAATTAAAAAAAAAAATAATCAATTTACTCGTTTTAATCCTAATCCTTTTTCATGCATATATGCTAAATTAAACATTGCTTGAGGATTTCGACTTAAATCACTTGCAGATTTATAATGACTAGCTGCTAATTCATAATTTTGTTCAGTTCCATGTCCACTATAAAAATATAAAATAAAATTTTAACACCAATACATCTTATAAACTATAAAGCTGCAGGTTCACAAGAATCTAGATTCGCAACTCCTTAGATTGCATATAGCATATAATTGTTTAATGTCATTTTTTGCTTAATATAATGCTCTTTTCAGCGAAGCAAAAATTTTTAATTTATCAAGTATTGAGTGATGGAAAAGTGAGAAACAAAAAATAACTGTATATTAAATTTTTTCTGAGTGTAGCCAATACATAGATAAAACCTCAGATCCGGACCAGAGCTAATCGACATCCGGCAGATACTTTCACAATCATAGTACAGTTTTCAAACTTTTTTGTTTTATATGAAAAAATATACTATATAATTGTTTCCATAAAAAAAAACAGAATGAAAGAGATCATCTCAAATCTCGCAAAAAAAAGTTGTGAATCGAGATTCACTTAGTGTTTTTCTGCTTCTAAAATTCGATCAACTTCGCTAAGTCGAATTTTACTTGATACTAACATGGAACACAGTGTCGATGACAAACGTCATAATTGCAGATCATACATAAATGCTTTTTCTCTCACAGTAATACATATTCACCTTTTTCATAATTCATCTTCCTCTCCATGTATTCAGTTACTTCGTCATATGGTTTCTCATCATCTGTAGAGGAATTTTCATCAAAAAACGAATTCTTTTAGTAAAACCATATCGTTTTGCCATTTCTGTGAACTGTTCTCTAGCACAATAAATTACTCAGGTTTTCACTCCTATGCCTTTATATAGATAGCGGTTTAAAAAGCGAAAAATATTTTGAAACGTTAAGATCTGATTAATTGTCGGGTCGGGTTCGAGCATGAGATCATGTCCGGCATCCGAACCCATGCTTCGAGCTGAGTTCGGATCCACAAAAGCATGAACTCGCACCTCTCTGATGTAATGCAGCATCAGAAAAGAAGATACGTCGTTCTTATTCAAATCCTTATAAGTAAACTTTGTAATGTTACTGAATAGATTTTATATGATTTTGTATTATATCAAACATTACTATAATTAATTATCTTTTCTATTTCTTGTGTTTGAAATTTTAATCATATAGAAATTGTATGAAAAGTTTTTCTTTTTCGAACTTACTAATAATAAGAATCTCCTAATTTAATTCTTGCATAATGAAAACCCTGAGTAGCAGCTCTATGCCAATAAATTAATGCTTTTCTATATCTTTCTTCTTGTTTTTTATATATATTTGAAATATCAAATGGCATTTGATCAATAATATAAGCAACATTCGATTGTGCAACTTCATAACCAAGTTCAGCTAAATATAAATAAATCATAAATGCTTGTTCAATATGTCCTTGATTATACAATTGAAATGCTTTTGTAAACATGTTTGCCCATTGACCACGTTCAGCAACACTTTTAAAAAGTTCTGTAGCTGTCGGACATGATCGTAATACACCTGTACCAGTTGCATGCATTTGTGCTAAATTATAATAAGCAAGAACATGTCCTGATTGAGATGCAGCTTGAAACCATTTAAGAGCCATTTTAAAATCTCGTTGAATACCTTGACCATTATAATACATAACACCAAGCATAAGTTGTCCTTCGGCATAAGATTGATCAGCTGATAAATGAAATAATCTAAAAGCTTTGTCATAATCTTTTTCAACACCAGCACCATGATAATATGCTAGACCAAGACCAGCTTGACCTATTGGATTACCTTTATCAGCTGCACTTTGAAAAAACTGTACAGCTGTTTGATTATTTTGTTGAATAAAATCATTTTTTTCTGAATATAATTTTCCTAAATATGCTATAGCATTTACATTACCATTTTCAGCTGCTAAACGAAAATAATAAAGTGCTTTATCATATGCTACATCACGAAAATAATATAATTGACCAATACCATACTAAATAAAATATTTTATCTGATTAGAAAATAAGGTTTCTTTTTTTTAGCATACTTGAGCTTGTGGATCACCACGATCAGCTAATAATTGATAATATTGTAAAAGATTATGATCAATCAAAATATTATTTTGTATTGGACGTTCTTCATCATCATATAGACGAATACGTTGAATCATTAAACCACTAGCTGTTGTTATTTTTGAAGCAACTTAAATATATATATATGAAAATAAAATTTTTTTTTCTTTATGTATGAAACAAAGAAGAAACAAAAACTTCTTCTACCATATGAAGCAGCTTGTTGATAAAACATTAAAGCTAATTCACAGCTATGACCAACGTTTATCGTACGCCAATATCGATAAGCCTAAATATAGGAAGAGACACAATATTGCTCGGATGTCAAGTGCATGTCGCGATAGACTTAATTAAATTTTTTATAGTATGAAATCAATATGTTTCTTTTCTTCTAGATATAGACCTTGAACGACTATCGCAAGCTTTTCATCTGTTGTTTGCATAGATTTGATTAATAGAAATATCATTTGTACTGTAATTAAATTTTGTTTTTTTTTGGAATGTTTGGATGTTATCATATAATCAAAGTTACATTATCGTACAATCAAAATTACAATTAAAAATAATAGTTGTCAATAAAAAATAATTATTTTACATCTTAATAAGACAAGGTAAAATTTGATATTATCTATTTTCAATTAAAAAATAAATTTAACCGACGACGTTCTTTTTTTTTATATCTTCGAGAGATGCTCTGTAATAGATCGGTTATATGTCGATTACATACTATAATTTACTCGAGTCGAATTATCATTATTAACTTCAATTTTTCAAATTATATATCTATTGGAAAAGTTAATGAAAACATATTTAATCTAATCTTATGTACATATGTGAACTGAATTTTTCATATAAAAGTAAATTATTCATCACATAAGATGTGCAGGGTTACCCTACACTGTACATCTTTATCTATTCTATTTTTACAATACTTACAAGTGCCATTTGAGCAAAATGATTTCCATCAACAGCAGCAAACGTTAAATGAACTAGTGCCTAAATAAATCATAACAAATGTTAATAATCTCAATAGAATATAAATTTACTTTTGAAATGCTTGCATTTGGAATAAGTCCAATACTATTCAAGAAATAAAGTCCCTTCATGAAAAGAGAGAAAAGAAAAATAAATTTAATAATTAAAATTAAATATTAATTTACATAATGAGATTCTGATGAACCAATTTTAATGCCTTCTTCAAAATATGTTTTAGCAAGATTAAAATCCATTGGTAAATATACACCCACAATATGCCCAAAAGCAAGTTCTTCTTTTGCTCCAATATGACCTAAATCAGCAGCTTGTTTAAATAATTTATACGCTCTAAATAAAAGATATATCAAATATTCAACCAAAATAAATAAATTATTTATTTTTACATTTCATATTGTCGATTAGTTGTTACATTAATAAATTTCATAGCTTGATGATAAATTGTATTAGCACGTTTCATTTCAGGTGTTAAAGGAATTTCATCATCATCATGCTTATCATGATCATCATCATCATGTTCTTCTTCTTCTTGAATATCATTATTGTTTTCATTAGTATTTAATTGAGATTCTTCTAATGTAGCAGGAATATCATTCTGAGTATTTAATAGATTAGGATTTTCTTCTTGTACATCAGAATTTGGCTTTTCTTTTTCAATACGATATTTAATTATTAACTTTTCTTTGGATTTACTTGATTCATTATTTTTTCTTGGTTTTGATTCAGAAGGATTTATTTCATTTTCTGGTTTATTATCTTCATCAGATTTTATTGGTTCAGTTATTTCATCAGTTGATTGATCAATTGGTACTTCCGACTGTAAAAAATCAAGTATTTTATAAAGAATGAATATATAAATTTTTTGTAAAACTTACTGATATAGAATCAGTTTTATCGTTATCGTCGGATTGTTCAGATTTAACGTTTGGATCAGCTAAGAAAAACAAAATCTTTCATAGTATAAAATTTGAATTCAACTTTAACATGAAATAATGATATAAAAATCGTTTAATTATTTCTATTATTTTGATAAATATTAGAAAATTTACTTTTATTTAAAATCATGTAAGAAGTATTTAATATAAAATTATTAATTTTCTATGTCTCCTTACTTGATATAGAATGTCTAATTAAAACAACAAGAATGAAAACAATTAAATATACACGTTTATGAGAAGAAGATTGATGCATCTAAAATACAAAAAGAAATTCCTATATGATCATTAAGCATTGAATGAGAAAATGATTCTTTTTTTCATATCTGTACATCAAAGGTAGTTATGTGATTGTAACAATTGACTACGTAGATAGTAGACACGATTGAGTGAATATAAATATCTCAACCAATCATTCATCGAATGAGCTTGTAACCAATCATATAATTATGTCAAAACGTACAGAGGACGCTTTTATGTTATGAATTGAAAAATAATAAATATATTTAAAAATAAAAAAGTAAGATAAAAAAAACTGATTTGAAAGATTAACTAAATAAAATTAAACAACTATAGAACGACAAAGTAGACCAAAAAACCCATAATAATAATAGTAATAATTGATAAATTTCATTTATTTACAACGGAAGTTGATAAGTATAAACTCGATAATCTTTTGAAGCTAAATGAAGAATATTTTGTTTTGGTTGAATAGCAACATCGAGAATTTGTGAATGACAAATTCGAGCTGTATATGCACCTAAACGTTTTTTTTGTTGATATTCATCATAAATAGTTATATTTAAACCTTGATGATTATCAATTGTTATTAATTGTCCTTTAGAATTTAATTTAATATTTGTTGGATATGTTATATAATTTGTTTCTTTTATTTCACGTATTAATTGTCCATTATATGAAAAAACTTTTATTGTATGTAAATGATTATCAGATATAAATATTTCATAATTATTTGAACAAATTGATGTTGGAAATTGTAATTGTTCATTTAAATTAAATACAAATAAAATTTTTCCATCTAATGAAAACATATGTAATTTTTGTAATTGAGATTCAATAACAAGAATACGATGTGATTGATCAACAGTTAATGCACGTGGTTTTTCTAAATGTTGACCAAATCGACGAATCAATTCACCTTTAGAACTAAATACATGAATTTGTGGTCGAGGATGACGTTGAATAACAACTAATTGATCATCACCACCAGGTACAACAGCTATACGATATGGATAAATTAAATTTTGACAACCTAATGTTCGACCACGACCAAATGAATATTCAAATTGACCTGTTTCACTATCAAAAACTTTTATACAATGCGCATTTGTATCAACAACAGCTAATTTTCCACATTCAAGCCATGCAACACTATTTGGTTCACGAAATGCATTATTTCCATCACCATATTGTCCTAATGATCGATCCCATTTTAATACTTGACGAAATGAACCATTTTTATAACGAGTTTCTGAATGAGTTAAAACTACACATAAATAATGAAGAAATCTGTTAAAATTATTTATTTTTTTGTTCTTACCATTTTTTTCAGATTTTTGTGTTGGAGTAAGAAGAACACGGTCTAAATCAAGTAAAGACCAAGCTAGAAATGAAAGTCTTTATTTCATAAAGAGATAATCACCGCTTTTTTAATGCTTACTATCCACTGGTTTGATTAAAAAATTATCTGCCGGTGAACACGAACCTAGAATAGAAAGAATAAAATATCTAGTATTTATTCTTTTTTTTCTAATTTTTTCCAATTGAAACAGTCTAAAAATATGTCGATATTATTTCTAATGCATTTCGACACATTTTTTTAATGCTCATAATTGCTCTGGTATCTTTGTTAAAGTGCCCTGCGTTATCAAAGTTCGAGATCCACCATTGCTTAATGCATTTTCTACAGTTTTATTACATTGATACAAAATAGGGAACCCAAAAGATTCTGTCCATGAATATAATGGCTGTGAGTATTTTTGCAATAACTAAAGAATGCAAAGAGCTAGCGAACTGCGATTTTCATCACTCAAGGAATAAGATTCGAGGGTATCGACGTATATTACAATTTGATTGAGCAATCAGATGAGTTCTTGGTGAAGATTTTCGAAAACAATATTCCGAAGTTATTTCTTTTTCTATGCTTATTCTGTTCGAGAGTTATAAGACTTTTCCTGATACCCTCGACTTCAACCAATTGACCTATGATCACTCGGAAAAGTAGCACGACAGAGATAATTTCCGATTCTAAGTCGAATGGTTATATGTGTTTTTCAGATTCGAAATGATCTGACTCTGTTATCTTAATATTTCCGAAACGTCGACTCCTTCAGTACATAGGCGCTGATTGTGGAATTTCAGAAATATCCAGATAGCAGTGTTAGATCGCTTCGAACTTGAAAATAAACATCATCATTCGACTCAGAATCGAGAATCACTCCTACTAAGCGGTTTCTCCGAGTGATGACAGTACAATTGACTGAAATCGGAACTCTCAGGAAAAATCTTATAACTCTCCAATGGAACTAGCTAGGAATATCGGCCTTGTGTGGACCGAGAGAAAAGAATTTTTCCTATCCATCAGTCCTATTAAAAGTCTTAATTGAAAGGAAAATAACTTCAGAGTATCGTTTTTGAAAATCTTCGTCAAGAACCTACCTAATTGATCGATTGTTGACCAATCAAATTTCGATATACTTCGATGGTTCCGGGTATTATCTCTGAAATGGTAAAAACCGTAGCTCTCTAGCTCTTTCCGTTCTTGAGTTATTGCAAAAATACCAATGACCGTAGAATTTTGGGATAGACATTAGTAACTCGAAAAAGCGCTTTTTTCTTTTTGATTCAACCTACAATTTACGTTCATTTAATTGTCTCACATTTATTTTTCTCCTCAAAGAATTATTCATACAAAAGAAGAGGTCTGACTGTTGCCAAACATCCATGAATAAGACGAATCTAAAAAACACATTTTTCTAATACATTTGAACTCGAAAAACGTATATGCTTTAATTATTGAATGTCTTACTTGAATTGAAGAGATCATTATCAATTATTGCTGATCCAAGTGCAAGTCGTGGTTGTTTTACTGTTACACCCAAATCATTACTAATAACATTAAAAAAAATAATTCATATTAATTCTAAAAATAAATCTTAATTTACACTTCTATTCCTAAAACTGATGGCCAAACATTTTCTTTATCAAATCCTAATGATCGTTTTCGTGACATACCAAACGAATTCATTAATATTATAATTTATTGCTTCAAAAAACTCGAACAATTAGGTATCAAAACAAACCCTTGATATATAAAGAATGCCGTCGTTCGTTAAACGATGTTGACAAATGAAAACAGATGTTTAGTCGACTATTTATATATATAGATATATATATATAAACAGTCGGAGCATGAGAGAAGAGATCGACAGAAAAGAAACGTATTGTCTAGGTATTTTTACTTCATAACATATCAGTTATGTACAATGCGATATACAACTGTAATATTCTTGTTTCTTGTTTGACAATATCAAGGGCAAAGATGCCTGTTGGTCAAAAAAGTTCAATAGATTTACTTTGTCGGCTAAAATTTTCATAGAGATTATTAATAATTTAGGAGAATAGAGAATTCTTTTATTTGTATATTCTATTACAATCATTTATGAATATTGGTTTTTGTTTTTGGAAAATACAATATTTTTACAAATCTTTTATTATGAAAAGAAAAAAAAACCTAATTCCAATTATTGTTTGAATATTTTATTTCACATTCGTTCAATTAAAGGAATTTCTATAAGGGATAATGTTCGTCGTAGGAGAATTACAATTCGTTCGATCAATTCTAAACGAGCAAACATGATTGGTAACAAATGACTTTGATTTTCCTATATGAAAACAAAAAAAAAATATTGTTTAAGAAGAGATATATTATTTCTTACAGTTAATATTCGAACTTTTGAATAATAGGGACTTAAACGTCGACAAAATAAAATAAATTCTTGAAATATCTAAATACAAAATCAAATATTATAAATTTTTTATCTATACACAATTTATCTATCTCAAGAGATCTATTGAAAGTTATCATTTCGCTTAAAGAATCAATACAATGTTAAATAAAGTATCTGAATATGAAGTAGTACGATGGATAAGGAAATTGATAAAATAAGAAAGTGAAAAAACGTTATTGTAATTATATGGTTATACTGTCTCACAATGACTTTAGATGTTTGGAAAAGGTTTCGTGGATTATGTCGAAAAGAGCAATGGTTTTAGGCTATATATTTAAATTGTTTCATCTATAGTTATTCCTTGAGACAATTAAGTCAATAATGATCAGCAATTCGCTTGGAATATTGAGGAAAACAAAATCACTGATTATAATCATGAGAACAGTTGGTGAATTAAGTTTCTCAAGGAATGACTGTAGCTGAGAGAATTGAAGAAAATGAACTGATTAGACAAGAAATATATTATAGATAAAACAATTTCAATAAATAGTCTACGATTCGGGGTGAGCTTCTCAATCTTGAGAATTTGTGCGTTTTTTCCCAGCGGAGTTCCAGCGTTTTGTTCATTTTTTTTTTGCTTATCAATCCCAAGAAACCACTGAACTCTCCTTCTCCAAAGCATGGTCAAATTTAGCAAAAATCTTTCAATCGACCACTTGACGGGAAAGTCACCTCAAAAACTCCCTTCCAATTTCAATGATTTTTTTTGCGTATAGATACTACATAGTGTTCTAATAAAAACTCTAAAGAGATTTAGGTTTCCATTGATATTTGATGAAGCTATTGAAATTTTAATATGTCGATTTTCTAGAAACCTCAATTTTTTGGAAAATTTGTATTTTTGAATTTTGATCTGAAACTTTGTGTATGTAGAAAACTCAACTAGATTATTTTCCGTAAAAAACTCAGAAGTTTTGAACAAAGTCTCACCGAGATATGATGCTTTCAAAAAATCCATGCAAAAGGACTTATATCCTGAAAAATCTACATCTCGAAATGACTTTGTTCAAAATTTTTGATTTTTTTTACGAAAAGTAGTCTATTTGAGTTTTCTATATACACAAAGTTTCAGATCAAAATTCGAAAATACAAATTTTTCAAAAACTTGGCTCCTCTAGAAAATAGAAATGTTAAAAATTCGATAGTTTAGTTAAATCTTAATAGGAACCCAAATACTTTTAGAGTTTTTATTAGAAGACTATGTAGTATCTATAGGCAAAAAAATCATTGAAATCGAAAAGTAACATAGAAGGAGACTTCCTTCCTCCCCGAATCCTGTCGACCTTGAAACACCCCTACTAAGATAATTTCTTCTTTCGGTATTTTCTTTTACATCATTTTAATGTAATGCACGTATGAGTTTTATAACCGTGCTAATGGAATTTTTAATCCACAATGATTTAATTATTATTATTATCGAATGAACACTCGATTAACTCTGTTATTCATTACTGTCACTTTTGATGTATCTTAAATAGTATCATAAGATTGTACCTTATCAAGATTAATTTGAATTTTATTTCCATTATTAAACGTAACAACAAGAAAACGAGATTCAAATGAATCAATCCATTTGAGGAACTCTTGTTCATCCTATTTATATGAAAACCAAGTTATTTTTGTTTTTATAAAATTTATATATTTTACTTTACTCGTCAACATATCTCCAAGTTTGTTGTTAAAAAATTCTCGAATTGGATACAAACCTAGAGAGAAAAAAACCAGTCAATTTTTCAAATAGAATCGTTCCTTTTTTTTTTGAAACAAAATACCATTTTGATATTTTTCATTATAATTATTTAGAATTGACATTAAACGAGCACTTGTATATAACAAAAATAAAGTATCATGATTTGTTTCAAGATTCGATCGTAAATGAACCTAAAATATAAATATCTTATTTCGAACTAATAAAAACAACAATTTTTTTTCTTACAATTGAATTTGCTTTTCGACACATTAATTGTAATTTAAATACAGCCATTGAAATAAAAGGACTTGCAGCAGCACGCTCATTAACAATTTTTGCCAACACATCTCTCAAACATATGAATACCAACATATACTATTGAACTATATTGGAAATGAATAATCATTTTTATCATGAATACTTACTTGATATAATTATCAACAGATAATTCATCATATTTCATTGATGGTCGATCATCACCAATAACAGCAGGTGCCAACGTTAGAAAATACTATATAAAAAGAAAAATGTTACCATAGACAAAAAAAAAAAATAATAATAAATACAAACTTGTTTTACATGAGAATAATTCATATAGATTATTTTCGATAGAATAACAAATAATTCACATTGATATTGAGATTGAAAATCACATATATGAATTATTTGAATTTCATCTAAAGAAAAATATTGAAGATAGAATTTATATAGATTTTAATTTACCTTTGTATTTGTCTAATATATTTCCAAATGTATATAATTTATCAAATAAACGATTATCATCTGGTATTCGAACTAAACAGAAATTTTTATTATAATTAAATATAAATATATATTTATCATTTACTAGAAGTATCTTTTGAAGATTTTACTAGATAATCATTATCAACATGTTCAATATTAACTATTAATCGATTATCATTATCATAAGAAATAAATTTTGAATTTTTAAGAAAATTTTCAATTGTTTGTTGTTGATCATATGACGATATTTCAAGAAAATATTGTTCTTCATCATTAATTAAATTTAATTGATGAATAAGATCAATAAATGAACGATTTTGATTACTATCAAACATCATAAGAAATGAATTTTTTGATTGATGAAAAATTTTATTCAATACATTTGACCAAAGAATTATTCTTAATGATGTAAAAACTTTTTCAATAGGTTTTTCACCTAACCAAATTATAAATAAATAAGCCATCTAAAAAAAAAAGTAGTTCTTCATCATTTGACGGGTTCTATATACCAAGGACTAACATTTGATATTTTAAGACTTTCATGTATTTTTAATGCTTAATTTTCATGTAAAAGTCTTACAATCGATTAGGAAAATCTTGCGACATTAACCAAAACAAGAAAAAACAAATACCAAGAGAAAACATTCGTTGTTTCATTACAAAATTTATCATTGAAATCATAACTATATATGCTAAAAAACCAATTATCAATTATGTATTTTACAAAGACAAGCAGACAATGAGAAGATCAAATTATCTTAATTAATATTTTATAGTTTTAAAATAACATGATCATCTTTTAAATATTTATATGTTTGTAACGTTTGATATTCGTGCATTGTATTTTGATTTTAATCATTGTCTTATATCATGATATCCTTTTTTTTTTCTAGATGTTTTGTGAGAAAATGAATACAAATGAGTAGTTTCAATGGGATTTGGCATTGTGACATTCGCACGTCAAGATTTATTTCTTGTGCATTAAGAAAAGCCGGTTTTTTTTTGTTATTTTTTTTTTGTCATTAATATGACAGCGGGAATGTTCCAAAATGCTTTTATATCCTTATAAACGATATTTTAATTGATGATGCATGATGGTATTTTTAGAATCCTATAGAAATCTATAAATAACCTTAATCAGAATTTTAGTGGTTTCCGTTATTTAAGGAGATTTCAACGTATGATTTGTATTAAAATTGATTTATAGTGTCAACAAGAGAATTTTAGTTCACTCATTATGTTTTCTCCTCTATTGATACACTACTACTATCAAAACTCTCATATTGGCTTGTTTTCTTTCTCATTGAGGTTTAATAAATTCTCTTTCCTGTCTTTCATGTTCAGTTGGTTATAAAGTATCAATTTCTCTGCCTTTTACTTCATTTGGTGCGCTAACACGTTTTTAATGTTATTTTATAGGTGTTGATATTGGTTTTAATGTATTCCAATCTATATTTTAAAGAGAAATTTTAACTGAAGGAAAAATTTGATTCAACAAACCATCACGTACAGCTTGTAGTGTTTGCAGAACGTGAACGACCGGCAATAATATAACTTACTGATGTCTGTACGATTAATAGTCACCATCGTGTTAATAATTGATAACCCGCTTTGACGGGTAAGATCATCTTAAAAGATTAAGACTCTCGAATAAAACTATCGATATGATAGAAAAAATTTATTTTATTTTATTTAGAAAACAAAAAGATATTCTTTTTAAAAAAAAAAGTACATCATTTCGATTAAATTTTACGCATTTCTACATAACTAATCAGTTAGTTATTTGTTAAATCAGTTAATACTTTCTTATCTATTGTTACAGATTTTTTAATACTTAACTAAATAATAGAATAACTAATATTATTTTCGTCTGCAAGCCACACTTTTTAATTTTTTACCATTTTATAATGCAGAAATTTAAAAGGGAACATTTTTAAGACATTGAAATATATTTAAATTTTATCTTAAAATCAAGATTTTTTGTTTTTTTTTTGTTTTTAACAACAACCACACGGATATATTTGAGAAAGATATTAGTAGCAACAAGATATACATAACATGAACAAGGCAGTACTAAAATCACACACATATTTACACACAAAAAAAAAGATTTTTTTCGTTTTTTAAATTAGGCAAATAATCGAACAAAAATTAGGAACCTTTTTGTCTTTAAGGAAAGATAAAGGATCAAGGTCACCGGATATTTTAGAGTGTCTCTGTACGTATATGTGTGTGTGTGATGAAAAGACAGTCTATTGGTAGATTTTTATAAAAAGAATATTTATAATTGAATAACACTTGTTAATTATTATACATTGTCAAGTGTAAAAAAATATTATAGTTATTGAGAAATGGCCGAATGATGAGAATTACTGTTGATTAAAGTAGCTAAACTTGTTGTTTGATCATCAGTCTAGAAGAAAAAAAAAATTAAAGATTAAATTCAAATCTATAATTTAAGGAGAAGTTTATCTGATGAGAGTGTAGATCTAACGAGAGAAGTTCTCCAACTGATACATCGCTATTGAGTCAAGAAAATGCACATTATGCAGTTATGAATACTCTAAAAATATTTTGTACTCTTAGCTTATTACCGTGGAGATACTGTATTTTTTAAATGAATGTCGTACTCCTTCTCAGGAACAATAGAAAATCAGTTATCTTGAAGGGAATCATGATATTCATTTAAAAAGTGCCCTACAAATGCAGTATTTCAGATAGAGACGTAAGCCGATGCATTGAACGGTGACAGCGGCTTACCCTTCTAATCTCGGCAGCAATAAGCTAAGGATACGAACTCTTTTTAGGATATTCATAGCTCATTTGGACCTATATAATGCATGTAGTCTGGATTTCTATCAGTTGGAGGACTTTCCTCATAAGTTTTTTCTGTTTCACATAGAACACCTGAATGCAAATCGTATTCTTGAAGAGAATTAAAGACTTTGTAAAACAAAAAAAAGTCGAAATGATACTGTTCAAAATATATTTGAGATAAGTTATGCACGGTGATTCTTTTGAACGAAGAAAAAAAAATGATAAACGACACTTTCTAAGAGATATTATTTTCACGGAGAGATTTTTTTTTTCATAGTCGTGAAACTAAAGGAGGTAAATAGTATTAGTAATACTTATTGATAGAAGATACTCCTTAATTAATTAATCTTTCGAAATATATTTGTTTTACATACGGAATTAGTCTGTAGAATATTTTGTGGTTTTTCCCAAATTGTAATAACACCATCTTGTGATGATGTAAATAAACAATTTTCACTAAAAAATATTCCATTTAAACGTTCATGGGAAATAAATTCAGTTACAATTGGTTCAATAACTTGTATATCATCTAATCTTGGACATAGACTTGTTCCAAATGTAGTTTTAGTTAAATCATAATTTGTTCGACGTAATGATAAACTATTATTTGTTAATGTTGATAATGATCCTTGACCAGTATCATTTGATATTGTTGTTGATGTTGATGTTAGAGATTTTGATCCATGTGTTGTATGTGGTAATAATGGTATTTTTCTTGTTCCTTTTGATGAACCATTTGAAAGTGTTACTAATGAATTATCAGGTGTATCATCAATTGATTTATGTACTTTATTTGAATTACGTGCAAATGTTAAACGTGATGTTAATGATGAAAATGATGATTTTCTTGTTGTAGATGGCATATTTGTTAATGGTATTGATGTTGTATCAGATAAATGTGATGAATAACCATTTGATATTGATGATATTAATGGATGCATGGATGAATTTCTTTTAGTATGATGATTATTATTATTATTATTATTTAAAGGAATTTTATTTATTTTAAGTATATCTTCTGTTATATCCCAAAAACATAAACGATTATCTTGTCCAACTGAACCAATACGATAAAATAATGATGGGATATTTGTATCAAAAAATGATGAATTACTTTTTGTATATGAATTTGATTTTGATATTCCATTATAATAATTATCATTATCATCATTTAATGATGATGATGGTGTTTTTTGTATAAATGATGAATAATATGTTTTAGCATTCATATATGGATCAAATGATATTGCACTTATCCATGATGTATGACCATGTCCACGACATAAAACACGTGATGAATGTTCGTCAGGATCAATAGAAAATAATGTTATAAAATCATCTTCACCACCAGTTGCAAGATATTTACTATCGGGTGACCAACATACCTTAAATTAAAAATAAAAATTGTCTTTGAAAGAATTTTTTCTTTTGCTACATGAAACATTCAAATAAAAAACCAGGCTCTTTGAAATCGTTTTTCTATAATTTGCACATGTTTAATAAAAAAAAACGTTTTATATGATGAATGGATTTAGAAATGACATAGTTTATTGATTATCAACATGTCTTGACATCAATCTCAATCAATTACAAACTGAAATGCCATAAGAAAAATATCAGAGTTTTGAAAGTAGTGATAAACAATTCCAGAAAATTCTCATACATTTAACTAATAATGAAGATTTGATTTATAAAGATAGGCATCGCAAATCTATTGGATAAAACTTCACATTCAAATCGCAGAATATAAATAAGAAATCAGCAAAAAAAAACAAAACGTACTATTCTTCACACCTCAGTCTCAATTCAGATTACAACATATCAGTTGTTATGAAGTATAGCACTATCAAAGATTTATATTCAGACTTTCTTTTGTAAAACATGATCTTTAAAGAGTGTTGAAGTGTATAGGATAGAAATTTGAACTTCTCCAGACCATGGTGAATGCTAATCAAAGACCATCACAGACATTAGCTAGTGAAGTCCGTTGCGTCCGAGTTTGAATTCGAAAATTTTTGGATCCGATGAGTTTGAGTCATCTATGGAATGTGCTGGGTACTAGAATACAAAAACATCGGAAAAAAATATCTTGTACTTTCAGGGTGCCTATCCAATTTCAGTTAAAAGCCTTTATTGAGAATATCAAAATACGATTTGACCAGTCTGGGTCAGAAAATTTCCGGGCCCAATAGGATTGATTAGCTAGCGACCATCACAGACGCCTTGACAAAGTCCTTGCTTTTCATCACGGGTGGGTGTGGCTCAAAAAGAGTAACACCCATATCTATACCCTTTAATTTTCTACAAAAGGAAAATCTAGATCATGAACTATCCAAAAAAAGAGTTTCTACTAAGTAAAATTTGCCATTCAGCAGAATGAAAATTGTAAATCGAAAAGGTTCAGACCAATCGCTACATAAATCTAAATGGAGCAAAGAGACTTAAAACCCTATTTTTTTATAATGTTCTATATAGTTTCTCTATAATCATCAGTTTAACAAAAAAAAAAGTCTTAACATGAAATATTTCATGTTACGTGTTCTTTTTGATTGAAAGATACATACACAAAGAAGGCCACCAAAATAACTTCTCATATAAGCAACTAATTCTTTTTTTTCATAATTAAATATTCGTAGAAATCCATCTTGTGATACAACAGCTAGTAAAATATGATCAGGTGAAAAAGCAAATTCATTAATACTTCCACTACCAATTGACCAACGTGATACAGGATTACGTGCTTGTTTTGTTTTACTCTAAAAAATAGAAAAAAAAAAAGAACCTAATGAAATAATTTCATAATTCTTTTTTTTATAAAAACAAACTTTTAAATAGGATATGGAAAAATTTTTTTCATCATCTTTTATTGTTGTATATGTGGGTTGAATAGTTGTATCACGTTGATGATTAAGTTGTTCATCAAATATATACAAATAACCACTTGAATACGATGCAGCAAAATATGTTTTTGGTGATGATAACCATTTAATACATGTTACTTTTGTTTTATCCAAATAGCTCTAAGAAAATAATTTATTTTATTTTGTTTGTCTTGTTTTTTTCTTTTTAAAACTTACTCCTTCATTAAATACTTTTTGTTCTTTTGTTTGTGTATTTATATATTGTATTTGTCCTTTAGAAAAACCAACAAGTATATGTAAAATATTTGTATCAGGCTGTTGCGTTATATCATGACATGTTGGTTGATGATTTTGTTTATAAATACGATGATCAATTGGTTCACCAAAATTTGGCTAAAATTTTTCAAGTTCAAAAAAAATTTTTTTTTCTGTTGTGTACGATCAAATAAACTCCGAAAAACTATTGTTATACAAAATAACATTTCTAAATCTTAGGAAGAAAGTTCTTCAACTGATTAATTGCTTTTGAATCGGGGCTATATGCATTATGTAGACTCAAATGAGCTATGAATATCCTGAAAGGAGTTCAAGTCTTTAGTTTATTGCTATCGAGATACTGTATATTTTAAATGAATGCCCTTAGGTAGAGTGAGTTGGATAGGTTGAAAATTTTCGAACCTAGTTAACAGGAAATGTCAGACCGAGTCCAGAACTACCCTGACAAACCAGAAAAACTGAGTTTTCGAATTTCAACTTGAAATTTTGTATACAGACAGAGTCGTAGCGAGAGCAGAGTTCGGTAGTTTCGAAAGATGTGTGAAACCGCTATTTCGGTTCGGTTCCCAAAATATCAGGTGGAATTGAAATCGTTAAATCATTAGATAGATACAAAAATTGAAAATCTTTTATGAGAAATTTTCACTATTAAATTGTTGAGATTACACACGCCATATATCTTAGTGTTTAAACGAAACAATATTTATAATATAAACTGAAATGTTCGAATCTCAAGAATGAAAAAAATGAAGATCTTTCGGCATAGATTTAAAAAGTTTTTGTATATATCTGATAATTTAACAGTTCCGATTCCAGTTTTTTAGAACTACCAAATTCTAAATAAAAGTAATGTATTCTGAAAGTTTCAAGTCTTTTTGATTTCTGAAATAAGAACATCAAATCTACCAGTGTAGATGAACTATATAAAAGACATGCTTTTATAAATGACTGTGTCTTAGAATAGGAACAACAATAAGATCTGAAATATTCACAAGAAACTATTCTTGTTAAAACTGTCTCTATACAAAGTTTCAATTCGAAAATAAATTTTCCTTAAGGGAACCACGGTATTCATTTAAGAAGTACAGTATCTCATCAGCAATAAGGTGAAGGTCGGAACGCTTCGTGGGTCTACACGATGTACGCAGTCCTAACCAAAAACGCGATAAATCAGTTGGAGTGTATTCTTTGTTAGCGATCACACTTTCTGCAATTTGACTCTTCCATACCGTTATGTGTTTCTTTATTTAGAAGGTAATAAATACATCTAGTGGTGTAATCAAGGTCGTACGCATTGCTCTATCATCAAAAGAAACAAAAAAACGTACTATTTGTCACCGTTGACCCTATATAGCATCAAGTACTTCTAACATTGTAGGATCCTTTCCCTACCACACCCGATGTTCTTGTTTAGCTCCTAGATAGATTTTTAGTAACATTAATTGAAATCAAAAAGCTCGATTTTATGCAAATTGTAATATCAAGCAGAAAACCTAATATTTAATTTCATGATAATTAAAATGAATATTTAAAGTTTAAAAGCATAATCATATGTTAAAGAGTAGTAGACTTTTAATAATCAAAATTCGTCTTCAAAAAAAAAAAAGCAAAACAAACCTGTGTTGCTTCAGCAAATTCATAAATAATTAATTCTCTTCCAACATTAAATGCTAATATTTCTGTTACAATTACATTTTCATTTTGTTGATTTATATCAATTCCATTTAATGTTGATGAAGATTTTTTTTCAATCGAATTTTCATTTGATTGATTATCTAGATTAGATGTTATTGAATTATTATTATTATTATTATTTAATGTTGATGAACATCTTGAACTAGTTTGACTATTCGAATCAACAATTGTTTGCATTCGAGTCATTAATGTTATTTTAACCGGTTCATTTAAACATGTATTTGTACCAAATTTTCCAAGGTTATCAATAATTGAAGAAATTTTATATGTACCTTCACGTGCTGTAAATTCTGTTTTAACAATATCACTACGTTGTATTTGATCTTTTGTTATATTTGTTTGATTATTATATGAACGTGATGTAACTGATGAAGTTAAATTGTTTATTGGTGCTGAATGGCTAAAATTTGATGTTTCTGTTCGAGCCATTAATATTATTATTGAATGGACCGGTTGAAATAGAAAAAATAGATTTAATAAATAAGAACGTCATTCGGTAGAATGATTTAAAGAAAAAATAATCATATTTCTCGTTTTATTTTTATGATCAATATTTCGGAATACATATATTATATATTTTTTTTTTAATATATTATTCGCCATTTTGTTTTTCTTTCTTGTTCTGTACAATTTGAATTGGTGAATAAAATAACAAATCAGAAAAAATATTAATACAAAAAAATATGACCTAAGAATTTTTCTTTTTTTTCTTTATTTTGTCTGGTTTAGAAAAGAAATAATTGAGTAATTACAAAAAAAAGTTTAAGATAGATGTCGGATGAATTGATTAGAGAATAAAAATGTTTTTCATTGGTCAATAAAAGTATTCCATTATCATATATTTATGATCTTTCGAAATTCAATAGCATTTAACTAGAAATTTATTTCATAGATAGAAAATAATGTTTTAGATTAGTTAGAGTTGAGATAAAAGATGATTTTAATGAGTTCTAGATTTTTCTTTGCCGAAGGCAATTGCACTCATGTTAATCATCAGCGAATAAAAAAAATCCTTGGTTATGATTGTAGAAAGCCTTCAGCTGACATTGGTTTTTATTTCGAAAACACATCTCCTTGCTTTAAGTATGAATATGCTTATATAACTTGATCATCAAATTAGTTAGGCAATCAAAACGCTTTCAAGAGTACATTATTATACTCAATGAACTTTACGAGATTCTTGAAAACTATTTAAAATATTGAAGTTCAAGAAAATTCTAGACTCGAATAGTCATGTAGTTATGAATTTTTTTTTTAACATGAATTTTCGATTTTTGATAGTTAACAATTTTCGAAATAGATCAGAAAGGAAATCTTCAAAAAGCAAACAATAGACTTAATAAGTCTTAATTATACACTATTAATTACTTTAGTAATATTATTGCTTATCTTTGTATTTAGTCTCATTAAGAACAATATCGTTCTTTCGTAATAGATAAATTAAATGTGAAATTTTTGTTTTTCTTTTTAGATTAATATTGTTTTAATTTAAATTGACAAAATGGCAATGCAAAAACGTGCTAATCTTCGTTTACCACCAGAAATTAATCGAGTTTTATACGTACGAAATCTTCCATATAAAATAACTGCTGAAGAAATGTATGATATATTTGGTAAATATGGAGCCATTCGACAAATTCGTGTTGGTAATACACCTGATACACGAGGTAAGAAATGAATTTTTTTTTTCATTGTCTAATAATTATATGATTGTTGTTTTTCCTTTTTGTTTTAATATAAATAGGTACAGCATTTGTTGTTTATGAAGATATATTTGATGCCAAAAATGCATGCGATCATTTATCTGGTTTCAATGTTTGTAATCGTTATTTAGTTGTACTTTATTATCAAGCAACAAAAGCATTCGACAAAATGAATTTAGATAAAGAAAAAGAAAAATTGGCTAAAACTCAAGCTAAATATGGATTAAATACATAAGATTGTTATTATTTATGCACCAAGTGTTGGGTTTTTTTTTTGCTGAATATTGTATATTGCACTAATTTCTTGAGTGAAAAAAAAGAGCACATATGAAGTAAATAAATGCAAAAACGAATGAATAATAATTAATTTTTTATGCATATTCCATAGTTCAATGCATCCATGTAGAAATAGAAGTTTGTTCTTATATATATCAAATATTAATCTAAATGTTTTATATAATATGTTTGTATCAATAATAAGTTTAAAATATGTTTTTGTATGTGCTTAATAGTGCGAATGATGGATTTGTAGAATAAAACAAGGATTAAATATATTCTTAAATAGAGTTTTATGAGAGATATGTTGATTCGAGTTTTTCTTTTTCTTTTATCGAATTTTGATAGAAAAGAAAGATTGTCATTGTCACCTTCGTGACTGAATGAGTGTCATTGTAAACTGAAACCAAAGAGAAAAAAAAAAGAAAAAAAAGTGAACTTTTTCTTTCATTTTCATTTTCTTGTACAGTTGAAGAGTTTATGTCGGACTTCTTTCTTCCTTCTATTTACTACTGCGATATATATACATATATTGCCTTTCTGTATCAAGCAATATGTTCGTTTGATGTTTATCCAGCATCGTTACTCTATCATTCTTCTTGGTTTCAATTGCTGTGAGTCGCACAGTCAAATCACTCGTTACCGAATCGGAGGACTTGAAATTCACTTGAGTTTCTTTTTCTTTCTTTTTTTTTTTTTTACTGTTCATTGCCATCATTGGTAGTGATAAGAGAGAGAGAGAGAGAGAGAATAAAGTGACAGTTAAAAGGAAAAAGAAAAGATGGTAATAAAGATGCAGAAGGAAAGGTAACATGGCTTTACTTTTTTTCCTGCTTTAAGCAATATGAAGCGCGAGTGCGCGGAAAAAAAGTTGATAAGAGCCAAACCGCAAATTGTACATATTATAATAACAGAGAGAGAGAAAAAAAAAACTGAGTAGTTGAAATCAAGTGACCTTGAAAATCTTCGTCTGTCATGACAAGATGTAACAAATACAAAAGAATAATTGTACTGTCAAAAAAAAGAAAAACAATGAATATCAAATTTTCATCATTGTCAATGTTCATTTTTGACATTAAAACAAATTCTCTACGGTCAGTTTATTTATATTATTATTATAACAATGTTTAATATAACACATAAATTGTTTACATATATGACTTTAATTTTGTTCAATTTTATACGATAGTGATACAAAAAAGAAACCAATTATGTTAATCGTACAGATAAAAACCTTAAATGTAATCATTATTAAAATTACACTTATTGATTTTTTTTTTATTTCATGCTTTTTTTTTCTTGATGGTATTATGTAAAATTAAAAAAGAGAAGTGTTCAGCTATGTTGTCATGTTAATATTTAATGATTACATTGATTCAATGAAACATTATGCTAATCAATGAAAATAAAATAATATTAATTTGATTGAGATTAATTGAAGAGAATCTATGAAAGATTTCAATTATTCTAGGTCTTATATGAATATTAAGGTAGTATTAATAAATTTTAAATTTGTTTTCTTTTTTATCTCGGTAAAATTCCGACACAAGGTTTTCATTAACTTTTTTTTTTTTAGAAAAACAAAAAGATTTACGTATTTTTAATGAAGAAAGAAAACGTAGTTCTCTTATCTTTGTTGACCTGTCATTAATGATATATTAAATTTTTTATGATACTTGATCGAAGTATCTTGCAAGCTGTAAAACAGAATCTTTGTTTTATAAGAAAAAAAAATATCGTCTTTTATATAAGAAGTCATCGAAAGAACATATAACAGTAGTTAAGAAAAATTTTCATAGCATGCGTCAAATGTCGACGATTTCTTTTGGCCTCTAAAATAAGGCACATTTTTGAATTCTGATTAGGACTCATTGAACACATTATGATATGTTTTAATAAGTCTTCTTGTAATCTATCAGTCGTACTTCTGGTAAATAATGATTAATATTCATTGATATAAATGAATTTATACTTTTTAGGCCAACAGGTTAAAATAAAATCATTATATTTTAAGTATTATTACTATTTACATCTATACTTTAGTTCGTATATAAAAAAAAAAGAAGAAGAATACTTTTAAAGTGAAGAGATCTTCATAGATCTAAAAAGTCAACCGGCAGACACATATAAAACGCAGAAAAAAGCCGCATGTTATGAAATAAAAACATATTGTTTTGTTATATAGAATTTATGAAAAGACAAAACTTTTTCTTTTCTTCCTGAAATAGAAAAAAAAAAAACGAACGTATTCTAGAGTATATAATATAAACATCGATTTCTATACAAGGAAAAAAACAAACAAGTGATTAATCGTCTTCGTTTTTTTTTCTATTACTATGATTCCTCACATATTTATATTACCAAGGATAAAATTAGTCATGTTATTCTCATCGATTTATTATGAATATACTGTTAATGTTGAACACGATTAAACTTTAGGTTTTTTTTTTTTCAAGTGATTTAATAAATATAAATGATTTTATTTTATCCAGTACATTTATTTCAGATGCATTTTCTTCGATAGAAGAATATTTTATAGTGAATCAAAGTATTATTTTTATTCTAGATAAATAAATATGGCTCATCGGCACGAGAATCAACAGCATGGTCAGCAGCTGTTGAACATCGTAGACCGAGGTACTGCTGAACAAGTTTTTGTAAGTTAAGAGTTTCAATAGACAGAATACAAGAAATAAAGTTTCGATAAAAATTGACTTCTTGTTTTTTGCATTGTTTTGAAAGGTGTTTTTACAAAAATTTCATGGAAGACCTTTTCAAAGTTTGGCCGATATTATTAAATATAGAGGTGTTATTGATGATCAAATTGATTTTATTAATTGGACAGGTACAAAATATAATATTACACCATTGATGATTGCTACAGGAAAAGGTTAAATAGATTTTCTTTTTTTATTTAATATAATTTATTGAAAATTTAATCTATAGGTTCATATGAAAAAGTAAAAATTCTTCTTGTTCATGGTGCAGATCCAAATAGACAATGCATAACAGGGTGTGTAAAGAAAATAATTATCTATATTAAAATAAAATATATTTTTTGAAAAATGTTTTCTAGTGATACAGCATTAAATTTAGCTGTTCATCGTCAAAAATATCTTATTATCGAATTACTTCTTCAATATCAGGCTAATCCAAATATATATAATCAATCGGGTAAAACAGCATTACATCGTGCTGTTATGTCATATAATGATGAAAATGCTTATCATATACGAGTATTACTTGATGTAAGTTTATTTAATTCGAATAATTATTTCGATATGGATAATGTTTAAGTTAAGATCGATGAATTTTCAGTAAGAAAATTTTATCATGAAAATTTATATTTATCATAATTGATAAAACAGATGAATCAATAGGCTTGAACAATTAAAATGATCAACAGAACCTATAAAATATGTGTTTAATATCAGAAATTTGTGTCCTTTC